ATGGAGTCCAGGAGAAATGGGATTATTTAAAAGTTGCACTGCTGAAAGCAACAGAAAATTCCATTATGCTAGTTAGGAGGAGCAGAAAAATTAAGAAACCACTGTGGTACTCCGTAGAAGTGGCCAAAATAGTAGGAATCAAAAAGTTAGCATTTAGTAATTATAAAAAAAACAACAGAGTGAGGAAGACAGACAGATCTATAAGATTGGGCAGAAAGTGGCAAAGCAAGTTATAAGAGCCTCCAAAGCAGACACAGAAGAGAGAATAGCATAGTCAGTAAAAAAGGGGGATAAAACATATTTTTAGATACATAAATGAGAAAAGGAAAGTAAAACAAGGATTAGTTAGATTAAAAGCAATATAAGTAAGGTATGTAGAAGAGGATAAAGGTCTAGCTGACTGCCTCAGTGAATATTTTTGTTCAGTATTTACAGATGAAAATGAAGGAAAGGGGCCTCAGTTAGGAAAAAGGACGAATGAGTTATTTGTTACATGTGAGTTTACAGAGGAAGAGGTTCTATTTCAACTGTCAAAAGTAAAGACAAATAAGTCGATGGGGCCTGATGGGATGCACTCAAAATTATTAAAAGAACTTAGTGGTGTACTAGCAAAACCATTTATGGATTTATTTAACCAATCACTGTTAACAGGAGTAGTCCCAGAAGATTGGAGATTAGCAAATGTTGTACCCATTCACAAGAAAGTTAGTAGGGAGGAGTAGAGCAACTATAGGCCAGTAAGCCTTACTCCAGTAGTGGGGAAAGTGATGGAAACGATGTTAAAGGACAGAATTGTTGAACATCTAAAATCACATGTATTTTAAGATCAGAGACAACATGGGTTTACTTCAGGGACACCATGCCAAACTAATCTTATTGATTTTTTTGATTGGGTAACTAAAATAACAGATCAGGGTGGTGCACTAGACATTGCTTACCTAGATTTCAGTAAGGCTTTTTAAAGAAGGCTCATCAATAAACTGCAATCTTTACGTTTGGATTCCTATGTTGTTGAATGGGTTAGGCAGTGGCTGAATGACAGGCAACAGAGGGTTGTAGTCAACAGAGTATATTCGAAGCAAGGTCTAGTTAGCAGTGGGGTACCTCAGGGATCTGTACTTTGACCCATTCTCTTTAATATTTGTATTAGTGATATTGCAGAAGGTCTTGATGGTAAGGTATGTCTCTTTGCTGATGATACTAAAATTTGCAACAGGGTTGATGTTCCAGGAGGGATAAGCCAAATGGCAAATGATTTAGGTAAATTAGAAAAATGATCAGAGCTGTGGCAACTAACACTTAATGTGGATAAGTGCAAGATAATGCATCTTGGGCGTAAAAACCCAAAGGCAGAGTATAGGATATTTGATACCCTACTAACCTCAGCATCTGAGGAAAGGGATTTAGGAGTCATTATTTCAGATTACTTAAAGGTAGGCAGACAATGTAATAGAGCAGCAGGAAATGCTAGCAAAATGCTTGGTTGTATAGGGAGAGATATTAGCAGTAGAAAGAGGGAAGTGCTCATGGTGAGACCTCACTTGGACTATTGTACGCAGTACTGGAGACCGTATCTTCAGAAGGATATTGATACTTTGAAAGAGTTCAGAGAAGGGCTACAAAACTGGTTCATGGATTGCAGGGAACAACTTACAAGGAAAGGTTAAAGGATCTTAACATGTATAGCTTGGAGGAAAGATGAGACAGGGGGAATATGATAGAAACATTTAAATACATAAAGGGAAAAAAGACAGTAAAGGAGGAGACTATATTTAATAGAAGAAAAACTACCACAACAAGAGGACATGGTCTTAAATTAGAGGGACAAAGGCTTAAAAATTATTTCAGGAAGTATTACTTTACAGAGAGGGTAGTGGACGCATGGTATAGCCTTCCAGCTATAGGGAGTGCATGGGATAGGCATAAGGCTATTCTAGACTTAAGATTATGCCAGGGACTAATTAAAAGTATTTGTTCTTTTCTGCTGTCACATTCTATGTATATAATACATTGTTTTTATATTTATACTAATGACAAAACTGTATCAGTAGCCTAATTTAACAACCAATATAAATATTATATATACATGTATTATTTTTACATACACTTGTCTGTGTGTTTTATTTCTTAATTTGGGGTTGTGATTGTGACAAACGCTCCTTAGCCTGGACATTTGTCACGAACTCCTGGAGGAGCCTGCTAGTTATCCTCCTGCCCAAGGACTTTGGGTCACATACAAAGACCCTGTTCGGGAGTTAACTCTCCCCAGCTTCCATTACCAGCTTTCTCAGGGTGCCTGAGACTAAAGGGAACAAACGCTACCCGAGAGCCAGGCGGAGCACCCCGTATTGCGGCCACAGGAGCTCAGGAGCAAGTTGACCGGCAAAAGCACCAAATGCCCTGGAACTGTTTTGGGCATACGATCATGTGTGCGGCCGGTCATAACTTTGACACGGTTGCGTGTCCCCTACACTGCATGGATCTGAGCACTATTTGGACAACTTGGGCGCTCAGATCCAAGCTATCGGGGATATAACATTTGTGGGGGTTTCTATATGATTATTATGTATTTTTATGTGTTTTCATATTTTATGTAATTTATGCTTAGTCGTGCTGACACTGTAAACTGTATCCATTTTGTGAGAGTATTCTGGGCGTGTTTTCAAGCCTCCTGATTTTGTATATAAGTGGGCCACTTCGCCAGATTAAACAGATTGTTTTACCCCTTCATTAAGTCTAGGCTAATGTTTGGGGGATTGGGAGTTATATGCACTATAATAATCACTGCTTCACTGGAGATTTGGGAGAACTACAGCGGATATACTCAGCCAGAGTATAGGGGATCTGTTACAGTGATATTGTAATATTGTTTTAGTGTCTTGGTTCACGCATTCTATGTTTCTATAGGTTTCAAAATAATATCAGGAAGTATTACTTTACTGAGAGGGTAGTGGATGCATGGAATAGCCTTCCAGCTGAAGTGGTAGAGGTTAACACAGTAAAGGAGTTTAAGTATGCGTGGGATAGGCATAAGGCTATCCTAACTATAAGATAAGGCTAGGGACTAATGAAAGTATTTAGAAAATTGGGCAGACTAGATGGGCCTAATGGTTCTTATCTGCCTTCACATTCTATTTCAATGTTTGGGCATAATATCTAAGGGAGACACCTCTTGTTTATTACCATTTTTCTTGCATTAATATATTCTTCATGAAACAAACTATACGAGATAATAATTGATGTGGTAAATGGTAAAATTAAAATGTGATTTGATTATTTGCCTTATTTTCATATAAAACTGTATTTGTTTTTCTATCTACATACGGTAAACAAATTAAAGAAATTAGTAAAAGTATCCTGGCTGTTCTCCCATTCATTAAAGTCTATGCGTATTAGTTGGGATGTGTATTTCAGACCATTAGACCCATCATATCTCACATAGCATCCTGTAGGAAGTCTTATAATTTAGGTCATGGTATATTGTTTAGATAATCGTGTAAAATGCACTTAACTATCCACTCTCCCCAATCTTTGCAACAGGCATCAGACCCAAATCTATTTAATTTGAGATGAATCTCAAGTCAACTTGATATCACGGGCCACACTTAAAGCGGCGGTATGGCAAGGGGGAACGAGATGTCGCGATGGCGAAGGAGCAGGGAACCCGACGACGCAGACGCTAAAGACTTGGGCAACGATACGGAAAACCAGCCATGTGTCCCCGACCCCCAGTCCCCTGCTCCCCATAGTCCCCAACCCAAATCTGGCGGGAGGCATTTCGGCCAAGGCCTGGATATTTCTGGAGGAGGGGGACTACATCCCGATTCGAACGGTCCTCCAAGAAGGGGCACTTCGACCCCTAAACACATTAATGGCTGACAGACCTAATACGCCCATGGCGTCCCTCCGCTACCTGCAACTAACACACTACTATAGATCCATTCCACGCAGGGAACACCTACATAGAGACCTCACATGGTTTGAGGGTCTTTGCCAACGAGGCGCCACACTCGACAAAGCAATTTCACTGCTATACCAACACCTGCTGTTGGGAGCTACCCCAACTAACAACACCTTCAGGAGACAATGGGAAGAACAAATGGGCGAACCGATATCGCAACCACAGTGGGACGCAGCACTTTTATGGCAACACAAGAGTTCCTCCAGCTCACACTATCAGGAAGTAAACTATAAACTGATATCCATGTGGTATAGAACACCAGTTGCCCTACACAGGATCTTCCCAACGGCGTCCCCAACATGCTGGAGATGTCAGGAGGAGAGAGGCACGATCATACACCTTTGGTGGGATTGTAAGATCATTGTCCCATATTGGGAACGAATCCGGTCTGAAATCAAGGAGGTACTAGGGGAGGACACGGAATGGTCCAAGGAACTAGTTCTCCTGCACATCACCTCGCGATCCATATCTGGTTACAAGAAGTCCATCCTACGTCACCTACTGAATGCAGCTAAAGCCCTTATCCCTGTATATTGGAAACGAACTGATGTCCCCACGGTTGCAGAATGGCGAAACAGAGTCGGAGACATACAGTTGGCGGAAGCACTACAGGCATCCCTGACGGGTCGGGGGAACAGGCACGCGGAGATGTGGCAACCATGGTTCGTCTACCAGGCTGGAGGGCACTAAAGGTCTCGTGAGGGGGGAGGGAGTGACGGTGGACGGGGAGACAGATCACGCGCCTACCCCGCCAAAGCCGTGGGGGTTGGGACCACTCCATCACTGGAAATATAATCCCTGGGCAGATGAAACCAACATCGGCCCGCCGACCCAACCCTCCCACACACATTCCGAAACGCTGAAAATACGTGACCCAACCGAGACTTCCCTTCTCGCACGCGACTATAACCACTGGGCACCCACGGGGCGCGATATGGGGACAAGGGGGGGGGGGGAACCTGATAGGACCGCTACTTTCTTTTCTCCCTTTTCAACTCTCTTTCCCATGCTGACCCCTCTTACATGTCTAATACACAATGCACATGCCTGGGGGACAGGGGGAGGAGGGGGAAGCCAAGAGTCAAGAAAACCAAAAAAAAAAAAAGAATACATAATACTGGCACTATTATCGGTACATCGAATTGCGGGACATGGGAACACACCCATAGGATAACCAAGCCTAACCTTAAGACCAAAGCACCTACGCTCCTTTCATGCCAGGAGCTAGTTAACTATGTCCAGCCTATTATTAGGCACTCCTGCTACAAGGTATAATGTGTCTTATGAAGGCACCCGACTTAGAGCCACGCTTTATGTTAAAAGACCGCTTACTAGCAATAAGGATGCTACATACTATACATATGTACGTACGCCAAAACAATGACGGTTGTCACTCTACATACTTTACCTTTCTGTTATCCTATGTACGCCTACTGTTAGTTACGTAACTTATCGCTGTAATTAAATCCTGTCAGGAGACTTGGTTATGTGGGCACAAAAAAAATGTGACTCAAAATATGGAAATATCGCTACAATACCCTTGTCTTCTAAGTAGGCCTGCGAGCCGAATTCTTTCTGTAACCCTCTCTTTTCTTCAATAAACAGATTTTCAAAAAAAAAAAAACTTGATCTTGATGCTTTGATACAAGATGTTTAAGTTCATCAGTCAGGAGGGCCATTTTATTTTTGTGTTTATGTTTTTGTCTTGCTGAGCAGCATATAAATGTTGCCCCAATGAATGCCGTTAATGTAATCTATATAAGTTCTTTAGTAGGCTTCCTTGACTATTCTATGAAAATAGAGGCTATTTAAAAGAGAAGATTTTAGAAGTATAAAATGACTGAAATTTAATTCAGGTCTAAGGGTCCCAGAACGTGATCTATCTAGATTATAGTCTAGGCTCGAATTAATGTAACCTAGGACGAAAAGCAGCCGAGGACCTGCTCCTCCTAAATGGAAATCATAGAATTAAGGGTTTTGATCACTAGATGCAATTCTATATTACATAGGGTACTCCATTGATCAAAAAAGTGCTTCATTCCCAATCCCATTTGACCTCAATATCCATAACCTGGACATTGTTCCTAAAAAATATAGTGAGTCCATGTTGCTTGTTTGCAATACAGGTGTGAAATCTTTTCAGAACCTGCTTTCCACAGTACAAAGGTATTGGAAAAAAGCCTCTTGGATTATGCCTGCTTTCATCATTGTATAATAGGACAATGCCACTCTCCCCTTCACTTTTTCGTTTAGACCTTTATCATTATTAGTAATCAAAGTAATTCCAAGTGTGCCCAACATTACACAAAGTAACAGACAGGCAAGACAATCCAACATTGACAAGAGAGGAAAAATAAGGGATCTGGAGGGAGGCATATACAATAAAAAAAGTTCAATATTTAAAAGTAGGATTGAGTTATAAAAGAAAAAGTAAAAACATTTACTATTGGAATAACAAAAAAAGAAAAGTCAAATATGTAATCTCAACCATTTGTTTGGCAATGCAAAACACATGCCAGATCCAAGTCTTCACATGTTAGTAAAAAAAAAAAAGAAGAATAATCATGTGTCAAGAACAAAAAGACCATGTGGTATGGTGTGGTGTCAGAAATATTAATATAGTACAAAGCAAAAAAAAAAAAAAAGATTAATATAACCGGGCAGCTCTTTTGCCATTGTCATGACAAAACAGTTAACCAAAAATAAACTCAACCACGAGAACAACAAATGCCCTGTGAGTACTCGGAGATGAGAAATAAAGGAGTATTGGTAAGAGCCAAGCAAATAACAATACATATTTTGAACTTACATATTTCCATAAAGCATGACACAACCAATTAAGTAAAAAAATTATCCCATTAAACTCCACCTATCTTAGTATTACCAACATTTTGAGTAGGCAAGTCTTTAGTAATGCTCAAAATATTAATAAAGACTTCCTCATCTCAAACAAAAACTAAATAATTGAACGTTCCGAGGGCAAGTTATACATACTTAAATCAAAATTGCCTAGCAAATATGATAAATAACCTCAGAGTGTTTCTTTAATGTTGAAGTCATTGTTTGACAAGGGCTGCAACATTACAAATTGCATTGTTCTGTCATCTGATTTCTACTGCTTACTTTGCTAGCTTTTATATCGTTGGCTGCATCCATCACTTGAATCTAGTGGGCAGACCATGAACCTCAGGTGTTCACTTATTTTTATAAATGGTGTACATTATTGCAATTTTTAAAACAGAAATATGTTCATAAAATAATTAACATTAGCACTGAATAGATTGATTTCCTGAAAAATGATGGTGATAATATAACTTATTTTCTTTAAATATTGATTTAATATGGAGAAAAAACTACTTTTGTTCATTGCAAAATAAATACAACGGAAATATTTTAAAATATATTTTATTAAATACAGTAGAAATATAAAAACAATTGAAAATATATTACAAATATCTTCTTCCACATTCCATCTCTAATAAGCTTAAATACTAAATCAGAAAAGGTCAACAGGATTATGCACACTTCCAAATATTGCTTTAAGCAGCCATTTTGTTTTCCACTTAAAAATACTTCATGATACTCAACAGTCTTTAAATACATGGTGTATATTTCAGAAAAGACTCAAACCTTTTAAGAAGTAATGAACTATCTATCAGAACAATGTCAGTGTTACGGTAGTCCCCACCACCAAGTTTAAGATGGACAATTTAATTAGGTATCTGGGTGATTCCTATATTTAAGTCACCCTGTGTCTATTGTAGGTGCAAGATGTGTGGTTGTTTGGGGTTAAATGTTAATGTGCTCTCCTGTCTTGCTAATGCTTGCAATCAACTTGGTGGATTTGGCTGTGGAGCCTGTACAGCGACACCTGTTGGTTGCAAGCATCCAGCAACAGCTGAATGCAATTATGCGCTACCTGAATAGCAAGGCTAGCTAATTTTGATACTTGGATAGATTTGCATCTAGTTAATTCTGCAGATAGGAGAGATAATTTCTGTTAATTATTGTCTTTCCCACTCCTTTATAAATATGTCATTATGTTATTAAAGGTTGCTGTATGTTGTCTAATGTGATTTGACTGTTTGTATTTTTATTGGGTTGTCACAGTAATCTATATGTAATAAACATATGGGCTACTCCCAAGAAAAATAAAGTTTTGTATGTTAATTCCTTTTGGAACTTGTGTCCTGTGTGGATTTGTAGGGATCCCAGTGACAGAGTCTTCGGACCTGTTTGGTGGTTGCAGGATCCCTCCAGCACTGGGATAAAGCCAGAGAGCTAGGCCTGAGAGCCTCAAGTGTCTTTGTAAAGGCAATAACTATTATCACAGTAAGCAGAGCTCCAGAGGAATAGGCAGAGAGCATGATACCTGCCTGGAAGGCAAAGCTGCAAAGGAATAAGCAGCCTGGAAGGAGAGCTGCCTGAAAGGAGGGCTGCAGCGGAATAGGCAGTGGGGGTGATACAGAGCTGCAGCCTGGTCGGGAGGAAAAGCTCCGGAGAGACCCCAGTCAACCTTTGGTGACTGAGGCTGAAGTTTTCCAGGGTCCCTGAAAGTGGCTAGGAAGTGGACTGGGCAGAGGTACTCGGTCGGAGTACAGGAGCTCCGTCACAGTCAGTATTGATCATTTATATTAAAAAGTATTTTATCTGCCCTGGGTGAGATATAAGGGAGATTTGCCACACTGATGTTTTATCTGTTGGAGGAAATAAGGTTTTCTGAAATTTCACGATTAATAGAAACATAGATAGAAACATAGAAACATAGAATGTGACGGCAGATAAGAACCATTCGGCCCATCTAGTCTGCCCAATTTTCTAAAAACTTTCATTAGTCCTAGCCTTATCTTATAGTTAGGATAGCCTTATGCCTATCCCATGCATGCTTAAACTCCTTTACTGTGTTAACCTCTACCACTTCAGCTGGAAGGCTATTCCATGCATCCACTACCCTCTCAGTAAATTAATAAATCTGAAATCATATGCATTGTTCCAGAAGTGACTTATTTTCCATCAATGTTGACTCTCTTCAATTGACTCCTTGTGCATTACATCTCATGACGTCACACACTGCTATAAGATATTAATTGTACGTATTTTGCAATAAGCATTGCTTCATTTGTTGCAATTGGATAATGAAGTAAAATTGCTCTTAAAATTCACAGAATTACCAATTCAATTGCAAATATCACACAGAAATTACTAATAGAAAAAAAAAGGATGCAATAGTTTAAATTGGTGACAGTGATACTTTAAAAATGGCATACATGGACTTTACATACATCTTGAAAGTAATGTGGGAAATTAAGCATTATCAAAAATTAGGAGTACTGTAGTGGCAATCAGGATTATTCACTGAATATGTAAGAGACCTCTCAAGGCAATATAACAACGTGAAATTTTTATGGTGTGAGGAGGTCCCATAGACCATCCTACCTTAGTTTAAACTACTAATTAACAGTTAAACAATAGAAAATTGACCCCTGATCACTCTGTCTCTATACTTCCTTTGTTAGTCCTAGACTTCAATCAGGAAGCTTTGGGTGGTACTGATAGGCAGAGAGCATCAACATGAATTTAAATATTTAGGCCATAATATCCGAATCAGAGAAATCCTCCTAATTAGCAATGTTTTCAGTTTGGCTATTTTGGCCTGAGAATTGATTCACTTTGAACTCCAATAATTCTCACTTTAGCTAATTCCACAAAATTTGTATATGTAATATGACCAGTAAAAAAAAATTCTGAATGCTATTTTAAAATATAAAAAAAAGAAACGTATAATTCTTCAGAATCCTTCAATTGCCTCAATTGTTCATATGCGCCTGTAGAAAGAATTATGTATATATAATAGATAATACATATCTACTTCAGAAACTCTTCATTTTCAAATGTTGGGTTGATGTACACTTCTGTCTTTTCATTTGTATGACGACTAACTGGTTTTGTCCGGTATGTCCTATTTATTGGAGGCCAGTTGGTATCTGCCTCAACCAACCTGATTGTTTTTCTGTACTGACTTTTTGACTTGTATTTGAAACATTTCTTTAAGAGCAGCCAAAGTTTCCTGTTCTCTATTATCAGCTCCTATTGATAGAAGACAATAAGTAGATAGATATCATTATTATTTAATCATGCATGAGGCAACAAAATATAATCCACTACCTAAATATATATTTTATTTAAAAAAAAAAAAAGATTTGCTCAATATTTCTGTCATGGGTAAATGAATAATGGGGAAAAAATATATATATACATGTAATTATCTATGTGCCTCTGAGCAATCTGTATACATTATGTGTAGGGCTGCTTATTTTGTACCAAGTGTTCATCACAAGTTTTAAACAAAATGGTTGTGAAAAGTGAAATAGAACTACATTAAATTCACATTTCAGTATTACAGAGTGGAACACATATACATTTCATAAGAGGATTTTATATGCCTCTTGCAACAAATTGTTTACAGAATGCTAAAGAAAGAAAGAATTACAAATATAATGGGTGCAGTATAACTTAATTTCGTTAAATATGCATGGGTCTAAATTACGAATATAAAATATGTGGACAATATTGGTTCAGGTTTGTTCCACTGCTGGATTTTATCCAGTGAAGTAACCATAATGCCATGCTCTAAATTTAGAAATGAGCTGCGGCAATTGTATTAATTTACTTCTACACACACACTGCAAAGATCATTATTTATTTACTAGTGATATCCACAATACATATATATATATATAATATTTCTTCCATTAAAATGTTAAAATGTTTTTGGGAAAAATTAGATGAGACATTCCAATATTTGACACCAGGGATGCAGCTAAATACATATACCTTATTATTATATATATATTCCTTCCCACTTTGAATCATTCGAGTGGATACCCACATACACTACATAAATAATATGCCTACCTAATGTTTATGCAAAATTGCTGTGTTAAATGGTGTTCATCGTCAAAGTGTCCCAATCACATTATTATGTGTTTCTGTACCTCTTACATGTACACCAGTATGCATTACTAATTGTGTGCAGTATAAGTAAGACTTACTTCAGCTAAAATTGATAAAATAACAGTGATGATCAACATAATGAAAATGGTGATTCTCCAGGAAGTTGAAGTGCAGACAAGCTGAATAAAAAAGAGTAAATATTAATTTTAGAACTATCCAATGTTAACATTTTCCATTTAGCGGATGTTAAATAATAGACAACTATATATGCATACATACATCACTTTGTAAATCTCATTTTAAATTGCAAAAGTTAACTTTAGATTTAGACAGATTCTGCACACTGCATTAGAAATGCTACTGGGATTTTTCTTGCGAATATTTCTCATATTTCTTGAGCAAGAGATGAGCAGAAAGCATGTAAGCACTCCATTTCATGCAATTTTTACAGTACACAAAAAGGAGCAAAAGTACTGTATATCCAGTGCATTCTATGCAGATGGGGCACAGAAACCATCATTGATATCATAAACATGGGTATCATGGGTGACAATGAGAATGGACTATGCGCCCACATTTACATGCATGTTAGTAAAGTGTGTGCTGTGTTTATGCTGTGTAGGTAACTTTACCATTAACAAATATATAACAAATATATTGGTTAACTCTAATGCCTGGTTGTTTTATTGCATTGTTTAGTAAACATAATATTTCTTCCTTATTCCTATAGAAAACTGTATTTGGTTGTCAATCCCGTTACTATGTTCTTTTCTAGACTCAATATCACAATTACAGGAGATTGTAAGTGGGAGTCTATCTTTCAGGCAATAATCAAATATGACTGTTATTTTTTATGATTTTACTAGAAACAAGAATATTTTATTTCCACAATATTAAGTCTGCTGTATTGGAAATATTCTGAAAAATATGTTTGCACACTAAACCAATGAAACATCAACCAGCATTTTTCAAAGCTGACCCAGCAATGTATTGATGTCTTTGTCAAGCCTACATGCAGAGGTAGCAAAACATATAGTATGAAGCTACAAAGATGGAGAGTATAAAAGCTTAGTTTGACTAGGGCACCAGTATTACAAGGGAGAACCCATTCTGCCTGGCAGTAGTAGGACAAATTGATGGCCGGTTGTCATGAGTATGGTATACATGTAGAGAGAGCATTCTAGGATACACATTTGGGCACTTCTGCAACAAATTTGAATCCGGAGAATGGCTGGTTATTAAACAAGCTATTCTCTAATTTTTACATTAACACACATCAACATGTGGGCAGGTGACTCTGATTTGTTTTACTTAGTGAAAATGCACTAAAATAGAAATTGATCAACTGCAATAAATGTTACCTATGCAAATCCATATAAGTTATAATGATAGACTTCAAAATATATCTGTCATAAAATTATTACAGAGACAGACAATTTTTTTTTCAAACCAGCAAGCCAACACTTTTAAAACAAATATACAGCGCAAAATAAATCAAGAAAACGTTGAAAAGCATGTAGACATACTATAAACTTGGCCAGATTGCATATTGGACATGCTTCTCACCTAGGGGAGCTTTTTCAGTCTCACCCCACCCCTCTCCTCCCGTTTATCCACCCATCTCAGTTTCAGACCAGCCAACTAATGACAGAAACAGGGCATCGTTGTATGTAAAAAAGACCCACTTACCTCCATAACATTATATATATTTTCTATGTCAGCAAATAAAAGAAAGATGCTAACTCCAAGTTGAGCCACTAAAACAAAAGTGAATATATCTGGAATGAAACAAGTAGTAAAGTCAGGATTATTCTTTAAAATATCACTAGCACTAAACCAGACATTTTCAAACCCACCAACCACTAGGACAAAAAGTTCAGTGATCAGCATTGCACAATCAAAAATTATAGTAGCAAATATTCGAGAGAGTCAATGGGCTGATAGGTGAGATAAGTTGTTTTTTTCCAGGTCTGTGGTTTAGTTTCAAACTATGCAATACTCTTTTTTTCTATAATTCTCATTTCATTAATAAACTACATGATGTTGGGCAGACTAGATGGGCCGAATGGTTCTTATCTGCTGTCACATTCTATGTTTCTATATTATAAATGCCATCATTTTATATGTTATGATTCTTCAAAGGAACACACCAGGCACCAACCCCATTGTTATGCACTTTATAGTTTTTGGCCTAAAAAATTAGCTGTAATTTTTATTGGTTTGTAGATTGCCAAAAAGCTATATCTTAACCCATTTTCTTGATCCATGTTGCCCTTTCTAACATGCTCCCTGATGGACCAAGCTACTTCCTGGAGTAAGTAAAGCCCAATGAGGATAATGCAATATTTGGGGATTTGCAAGAGAATTTTGAATTTGTCGTAGTATATTTCATTGCCAAGCCTAACATGTTGTGACTAAATGATACTCACAGTTAGTGTAAATTGGCTGTCGAAATGGCTTTCCCTTGGAGAACACAAATGCAACGATTATACAGTGAATTGTAGTTAGGTACCATAGGGTTGTAGTCTCATAGCTTTCATGACTGATGTTTAGTTTTAGACGTGTATTTGGACTTGTTATGTTAATACTACCGTTGTTATGAAACATATCAGCATTGGTGGTCATACTTTCATTACCAGATGTGCACATACTGTAAAAAAGACAAACCATGCATGAAATGTCAAGTGCTGGATGTTTTATTTATTTGTTTATCTGTTTGTTTACTTGTATATTATCTATTGTTCACATTTTTTACACAGATTGGCAATAATCACATTCATTATAAAGTGATCATTAACCGCATATAAAACTGAATCTTATGGAATAACATTGGATCGAACTATACTATAGCAATAGGATGGGTTATTGTGATGGACACAAAGGTCAGGAGTAGGGTATGAGATAAGTAATGATAATAGATGAGTTGGATAGATAACTGGTTAAGAAGGTAATGTAAGGATGTTTGAAAGGATGTGATTACTTGTTTTTTCTAGGGGTTTGGATGTAAAGAGAAAAATAATTAAAATATGAATAGTAGCACATAGAAGTGGGGCTTAAGGTAGGGGTACAGGAGGATAGGGATACAGTGGAAGGTCTACAGGGATACAGTCTGAGGAGATTAGGGGTTATAGAAGAATGTAATATGATATGTGTACCGGATGAAAATTGAGTGGGTGGGGTTTGCAGAAATGAGACTTGATTAGCCTGAGACTTTTTGAGGATAATACAGGAAGAAACATTTTGAATTTTATGAAGGAGCATCTTCGAAAACCAAAGGGATGGAATATGCATTATTAAAAACCTCTCTCAAAGACAGACGGGATATTTTGGTCAAACGTCTGCTATAATATATAGAACAGGAAGGTACCTTTCAACTGAATATGCAGTAGAGTGTGCTGTATTTTGTATATTCTATTAACCTGTTCCAATTCACATGTATTGGATGACTAATTAGACAAAATATGATACAAAAATGTGGTCACTGATACTCATTACAGGATCATCACAAGGAACTTCAGAAGGCTTACAATTATGAATGTCTCATGGGATGGATTAAGCTCATGGGTCGTCATTGGCATTAGAATGAGTAGGAGCTAAAAACGGGGTGCATTTGGGCTGTGATAGGTTTATACAATGTGATAATACTTTATGAGGAAATCTAAATATATTAGTATATTTACTAAATGCTCTCAACTTGTTGGTTCTGTGAGAATTACTATATTCCCTATCAACCAAATTAAAAAAACTTTGAGACAAATGTGTACCAGCTCTGTTTAAATGTGAGAATAATTTGAAAATAGCTCCAGCTGCATTATAAAAGAATGGGATAGCAGCTGAATTTCCTAGCAATAAAATATAAATAAATAAAGATGCCACTAAGATAAGGGTAAGATTTGGTGGGAATTTATGGTTGGGTGTTACTACGAGATAAGGGGACTGTTGCAGGTAGGTTCCAAATCTACATGGTTTGAATCAGATTGAATGCATGAGGGAATTTTCTTGTAATTTGGTTGTAATTCATTCTATATGAGAAAGTTTATTAGTTTGGGAAACTGAATGCCATCTGACTCACTTAATGAGATTCACGAATATAGCTTGCATTTTTTTTATTCCAGTTTTTATCAGACCAATTTTAGGGCTCACTCAAAGCAGAAGTGAGGGCTTCTCATAGAGAAGCACTGGATTAAGTGCTTTTTTTATGTGAAGCATTCTATTGGTGCAGCATGCACCACAAGGCCCCAAAATTTTGCTCTTTAAGATGTGATTAACTAAGGAGATCCTCACTACTGATGGCTTCTCAAGTGTGAAGCAGAGCTACGGCAAGGAGAACATTTTTCACTGGATTAGAGATAAGTAACGTATATATTTTTACAGGAATGGGGGAAGTATAATCCAAGTTATTTATGGAACAATCTTGCTTTAGACATACATTTGTTTCTAATGCTGCAGTGTTCCTTTAAACAACATGGTGTAAAGATAGACATTTTGTCCTTTCTTTTTTATCCTGCACACTCTTCACTTATAGCATGGTTGGCCAAATGTAGGTTTCCAGTAATTGTTAAACTAGTATGATGCTTTGTCAATCTTAATCCAATGAGCATTATGTGTGTTGTAGTTGAACGACTGGGGATACACCTTTATTATTATTATTATTGCCATTTATATAGCGCCAACAGATTCTGTGGCGCTTTACAATATTTTAAGAGGGGGGATGTAACAATAAATAGGACTATTACAAGAAATCTTACAGGAACAATTGGTTGAAGAGGACCCTGCTCAAACGAGCTTACAGACTATAGGAGGTGGGGTATTAGAAACATTAGGACAGGAAATATCAAGTAGGAGTGAAGCAGAGCTGGAGGAGAGAGCAAAGCACTGTCCCATAGGAGAGAGCAGGAGACAGGTATGTAAGGTAGAGATTACTCTTTAGTCACCTCTGTTTTATAAATTATTTTTAAAATGCATATATAAAATATCATAATGTTAGGAATATATTATTCTCAATATTTAAAAAGAACCTAAATAAGATTACACCCTACAGAGAGTACAACTCACCTAGGAGGGTATGTAGAGTACCAAGACTGCTGCTGGACAAGGAGGAAGCCATAGACTTGGATGGCAAGAGTTAAAACTGAATGCAGAACAACTGAAAGCAATAAAGGTGGTGACATGAGCTGTGCTGGAGGTCTGTATGGAGCCAATTTGGGGTACGCATGGTTTAAACTCACTGAAAAATAAATCAAAATATAGATAACTTAAATATAGGTGGAGACATACTGAGATATAAATATGAGTTATATTTAGCAATAAATATTGAAATTAAAACATTATTAAGCTACCATTTACCATTTTTTACGTTTAAAAAAGCCGCCCTATAGAAAGTTTCTTAATTGAAATGCTAATGACAGCAAACAACCATATTACTCCCAGGATGTCTCATGTGGGTGGATCACACCTCCTATGTGATTCACTGTAGGAGTGTATACACCAACTATGCCCATAAAACTGAATTGTGCAATAAGTAAACAGATACATAAATGAATAAATAAATAAAAGTTAACAAATTTTAAATCTTATTTTCTTTATTTGTGCCTTAAACATCCAAATCCAATATAGCATAAATAAATGCTGTGATATTAACTAAAATATGGAAGGTAAATATCACTATGAATAGCACAAAATAGCATATTTAAAACTTAAAATCTACCATTTTTACCCCATTGTGCTCATAATATTAGTTGTTTACATAGAATATGTTTGTTACATTTTGTGGGTTTTTTTCTGTATAATTTGTTTAACATGAAACACACTTGATCTTGAATTTGTACACTTTAAATTTGTATTTCATGCCATTGTGTCACTAGATGGCATCACACATCCACAGTTTTAACTAAAGGTAGTATAACTGCAGCAATATAAAATTAGTTTTACGATAACTCAGTCAATTAAAAGCTAATTCTTTGACTATGTAAGCAGATATCAATGACATTGCATAACTAATTAAAAAAACAGGCAAATATCTATAAACGAAGCAGCCAGCATATCAGTGTAAAATGTTATTGGCATTCCTTTTTACATATTCCCTGTATTAAAAGAAAAGACCCAGAATAAATAAAAATAAATAATGATTATTTCTAATATTTCCACTTTTTGTATCTTACTTGTTAAGCAGACAAGGATGGTGACAGCAACATCTTGTACAAGAAGCTGGTAGTTGGACAGGATGTTTATTTGCTAAAGAAGAACAGACAAAAAGCAGGCATAAATACTGAATACATACTAAAAGGGTACATGTATTATTTGATGTGCTGTGTATATTGCTATAAAGAATCTATCAATTATTTCATTCTGAGGAAAAATGCTACATTGTATTGCTTCTCTGACAGACTTGGTAGATTCATTGAATTTCTGAAGCCACAAAATCCATACCTTATTTAGAAAGCGAGTTTTTCTGTTTATTGTGTAGGGTTATCGCAAGCACCGTGACTACTTCAGTAATTTGAATGGTTATGGTGCTTGTGGTATGAATGTGCAGTATTTTAAGTAAGAAACGCTACAGATACAGAATTAAAACACCTCCAGCAGCTTCTTTAGCCAGCCCAGAATGAAAGTTCAGAGCTGAATAATGTTAATTTTGTCAGTATTAGGCATTTTTTCTTCAGCACAAACAGTTTGCTGGCAACAGATGACCAATGGCAGCCCCCTCCTTGTTGCTCAAGTCTTACCCTCAGCCTGTTCTCAAGGATGTCCAGTCCCTTAAAGGGAAACTCCAGTGCCAGGAAAACAATTAATTTTCCTGGCACCGCAGGTCCCCTCTCCCTCCCACCCCCCCAATCCCCGGTTGCTGAAGGGGTGAAAACCCCTTCAGTAACTTACCTGAGGGAGCGACGATGTCCCTCATCGCAGCTTCCTCCTCCGCCGCCACTCCTCCTCTGCATTGCGTCGGCCGGTGGGCGAGACTGATCCCCATAGGAAATTTCAATGCTTTCCTATGGGGAAATGAGCAACGCTGGAGGTCCTCACATAGTGTGAGGATGTCCAGTGACGCTCTAGCACAGGTTTCCTGTGCTAGAAACAGGTTTCCTGTGCTAGACAGCCACTAGAGGGGGAGTTAACCCTGCAAGGTAATTATTGCAGTTTATAAAAAAAAACTGCAATAATTACAATTGCAGGGTTAAGAGTAGTGGGAGTTGCCACCCAGACCACTCCAATGGGCAGAAGTGGTCTGGGTGCCTGGAGTGTCCCTTTAAGGCAATCATCAAGAAAATTTAAGAGGCACATAAATTCCCTTCTCTGACTTTATATGCTGTTATTCTATAAAAGCCTTTCTATTTGAAAAATATTAAAGGATTTCAGTGTATAACAAAATAAAACTCATATATATATATTTACCCAGTAGAGGAGCAGCAGACAAATAAACTGTATCATGGCATACAGCGTCATATACTTGAACACACAAAATGATGTTACAAGAGCAGCTCTCCCTTCTCTGCAAAGACAACAAAATGTTTTTTTAATCATGAGCCATCATGTTCCACTGTCATATATCATCTTTTCTATTTAAAATGTCACTTTGGTGTTTTAACAGGAATCATCTGCTTTCTAACAAAGTCTCTTTGTAGAAGGATAAATGAATTATATAAATCTCAAAAACACAATCATTCAAGTTTTAAATCAGAGTCTACAATTAGAATCTAAAGGGTCAGAAGGTAAGTGAGCGGAACCTAGCATCTACTCAAAGACCATTTTCAAATAATGTATTGTTATCATGGGGTTATGTGTCCCTTGAGAAAAGAGAAATGTTTTCTACAATAAGTAATCTGATTTATGGGATACGAAAACATCATCAGGGTTTTAATAAAAAATAAAAAATAATTGACTTGTGTTTTTTTAAAAAGGAGACAAACTGTGAGCAGATCAAAATCCCTCCTCCTGACTTGTAATGTTTTTTCAAGAAAAAAAATACAGAAGACAGAAACTTACTTTATCAGCTGTGGTACACATCTTATGTTTGGAGTACGTGAAGTAAATGGAGAAGCCACCGATGCCTCTTGTTCAGAGAGGGATATTCCTGCATGGGCCACTTTTAGAGCCTGGAAATGAGTAGTATTTATTTAATCATTATTAAATGAACTCAACATATCAAAAATAATTTGTACAGTAAATTTAAAAAAACTTTTTTTTGGCATCATAAAGACTTCACCAAAATGAGGTTGTTATGAGGGCATCATGTCAATGGCGCTGGCTCACCTTTAGGGATACCTTTCTTAACCTTACATTAGTGAGTGCAATATTATCCCTAATTTTATTGTAGTTTTGTGTGGTTTTTCAATATGTTGTTAATTTTTTATATTTTGAAGAGATTAAACATTTAATAAGAAACTATTTACATCTGGATCACTGTATACTTGTATCCAATATTTGGATTCCAATATTGTTGAATGGGTAAAGCAGTGGCTGAGTGACATGCAACAGAGGGTTGTAGTCAATAGAGTATATTCGAAGCATGGGCTTGTCACCAGTGGGGTACCTCAGGGATCTATACTTGGACCCATTCTCTTTAATATTTTATTAGTGATATTGCAGAAGGTCTTGATGGTAAGGTTTGTCTTTTTGCTGATACTAAGATACGTAACAGGGTTAATGTTCCAGGAGGGATAAGCCAAATGGCAAATGATTTAGGTAAATGAGAAAAATGGTCAGAGTTGTGGCAACTGACATTTAATGTGGATAAGTGCAAGATAATGCATCTTGGACGTAAAAATCCAAGGGCAGAGTGCAGAATATTTGATAGAGTCTTAATCTCAACTTCTAAGGAAAGGGATTTAGGGGTGATTATTTCTGATGAGTTAAAGGTAGGCAGACAATGTAATAGAGCAGCAGGTAATGCTAGCAGAATGCTTGGTTGTATAGGGAGAGGTATTAGCAGTAGAAAGAGGGAAGTGCTCATGCCATTGTACTGAACACTGGTGAGACCTCACTTGGAGTATTGTACACAGTACTGGAGACCGTATCTTCAGAAGGATATTGATACCTTAGAGAGGATTCAGATAAGGGCTACTAAACTGGTTCATGGATTGCAGGATAAAACTTACCAGGAAAGGTTAAAGGATCTTAAAATGTATAGCTTGGAGGAAAGACGAGACAGGGGGGATATGATAGAAACATTTAAATACATAAAGGGAATCAACACAGTAAAGGAGGAGACTATATTTAAAAGAAGAAAAACTACCACAACAAGAGGACATAGTCTTAAAGTAGAGGGGCAAAGGTTTAAAAATAATATCAGGAAGTATTACTTTACTGAGAGGGTAGTGGATGCATGGAATAGCCTTCCAGCTGAAGTGGTAGAAGTTAACACAGGAAAGGAGTTTAAGCATGTGTGGGATAGGCATAAGGCTATCCTAACTATAAGATAAAGCTAGGGTCAAATGAAAGTGGGCAGACTAGATGGGCCGAATGGTTCTTATCTGAAGTCACATTCTATGTTTCTATGTTTCTATCTGGACTCTGAAGAGTTTTGCCAGAGTATGTAAGCATTGTGAATATACTGGTGCTTTCACATATTTTAATCTTCCAATTATGGTGCAACACACAGTTCTTTGCTGTTTTGTGTTTATATATCACGGTTTTTGGAGTTAACCAGTGTGTGAGTGCAGTTGGGATGCGAACTATTATATGTTTTATATTTATTATCCCTAAAGGTCAGGCTGTGCCAGGGACCTCCTGCCACCACAGCAACTTCATTTTTATGAAGTTGTTCTGGTGCCCAGACAGGGCCTTTAAACCACAAAAGCACTTATTTAGACCAAATTAACCAGTGTAACATGGTTAAGGTGTTAAATACTATCACAGATACTTGGCACAGGTTTAGTGAATGCCAACACAATAAAGAAATTCAAAGATGATTAAGACATGTAGAAAGCAATCCTAACTATCTAAAGAAAGAAATAAGCCAGTTGAAGCTGACATTTTATTGTAGGAAAACATTTTAAAAAACGGACTGGTCATTTGTCTAAATATTTGACATCCTGCTGAGTCGATATAAAATTTTAAATGTAGATACTTACACCACAGTCATTAGCGCCATCTCCACACATGCATACGTAGTAACTGTTGGGATCCATGTGAATGAAAAGATTACAGGAATGTGTTAATTATTTACTAAGAATTAAGAAGAATAAAATAATTACAATCATTGACATATTTATGGTTTATGCCAATTGCAAGGCTTCCTAAATGCTTACAAGCATTTTTTTCATGAATATATGTATGTGGAGTATCCATACTAAATTAAATGTATATGAGTGTAATTATATTAATCACTGCATTTTGCACTTTATAATTGGATGGCTGACAAATATATGATTGGAAGGGTGAGGTTACTTTGAAATACATAATATAGCAATTTTGTATTGTTACTGTGGTGTAAGAGAGCACAAGTTTTAAATACACAAGTTTTAAATATTGTATACTGCCCCTATATTGCATGTATCCTGCCATATGAACAAATGTCATAAAATATGTTTTTTAAAAATCTAATATTTTGATACAAATCTCACTGTCCTAAAGAAAGAAGAGTTAGAATTTAGAGTCAAACAGTTATGATAAATATTAAACATACTCAAGTTTTTGAAATTCTTCAACAAGACTTGATTTTTGTCCTGGTGACATTCTTGCAAAAATAGCTCCATTCACCATCAACTGCAATAAATCACATTGCGCATTACCACATTAATATAAACGGCACGAGGAAAAGTTTATATTTAGGGCTAGTTATTAGTAATGGGGAACATTTGTGACCAATGGAGGAAATAAGGACAAAAATAGAGTAGCATGACTTGCAGGGTTTTACAGATGGGAAAAATATTCATCCCTAACAATGGCTTCATCACTATTTATAAATCCTAGTATATATGTAAGTAAGATGTGCTGTTAATGATTTTGTTCGTAAATATATAAGTTGCTATCATAAATCTTAGCATAACTACCTCTTTCCGTAGGTGAAATGTTCATTAAAGTAAAAAATACAACATGATATGTATTTCTGAACCACACATTTAACCAAATGTTTATTTTCAGAATCTGAAATATTGTTTTTATTCTAATTATTGTTTTAAGGTATTTTGTTTATTGACAGTCAGTGAGTTATTTTGCTGATTTGAAGTACTCCCCAGAGAATATTAAAATAAGATTTCAAATGGGATATTTATCAAAAACAAACAGGTGATAATCTCATTGCAAAGCTCTAAATGTTTAGCTCTATGCCCCAGAAAAACACCTGATTTTGCCTTGGTAAACTTCCCCTCTATGGCAAATATGAAAGCCAAACCTCGTATGTTTATAGCAATAGACCTTTAACATCCAACATACCTTGGGCAATAAACACGGGAAATGCTGTAAAATAGCTTGATATGACTTTCCGCTCATTGCAAAATGATAACCACCCTTTGCTTCTTCTTCAATTGTTCTTCTTTCGATCTCAATATTCAGTGTCTGCTAAAATTAATAATTGAGATTAAAAGTTAAGTAATGACTAAATCGAGTTTACAGTGTAATCCAATAGTCAATTATTTTTATCATCTTCATATGCCCCTATTAGCCCCTTCAGGACAGAGTCAATAGTATACGTTCTGATCAAAATAAAATGTGAACAAAACCTGGAATTTGCGCTATATGTCTGTTCAATCATAATTCACCTCTTTCATATTAAGTGCACCCACACTTATTATATATCATTTTGTTCAGAAAAACAGGGCTTTAATTTCTCATGAACTATTCATGTATGAAACATAACTTATTATGAATAAAATAAAAACAACTGTGAGAGATTAAGATTTAAATACAAAATTGTAGTTCCGTCTGACATTTTAGTTGTAAATGTCACGATACTGTTTGCTTTTACTGCAATAAAATGCACATATTTGTATTCAGCAATGTCTCATGAGTAAAACAGTAACCCCCTTTAGCAGGTTTTATGGTGTTTTGGAAAGTTACAGGGTCAAACATAGCACATTCCATTTTTCCTTTTTTTCACATTAAAATTTGCCAGATTAGTAATGTTACCTTTGAGACAGTGTGGTAGCTCAGGAATGAGAATTACCCCCATGATGGCATACCATTTGCAAATGTACACAACCCAAGGTTTTGCAAGTGGGGTATGTCCAGTCTTTTTTAGTAGCCACTTAGTCACAAACAGTGGCCAATGTTAGCATTGATATTTGTTTTTGTGTGAAAAACGAAAAAAACAAATATTTGGCCAGTGTTTGTGACTAAGTGGCTATGAAAAATGACTGGACATACCCCATTTGCAATACCTTGGGTTGTCTACTTTTGCAAATGTTATGCAATCCTGGGGGTAATTCTCATTCTTGGACTACCATATGGTCTCAAAGGCAACATTACCAAACTGGCAAATTTCAATGTGAAAAAAATTAAATACAAGCCTTATATTTGACTCTCTAACTTTCCAAAACACCATAAAACCTGTATATAAGGGGTACTGTTATACTTGGGAGACTTCACTGAACACAAACATAAGTGTTTAAAAACAGTAAAACATATTACAACAATAATATCGTCAGTAAAAGTGCCGTTCATGTGTGAAAAATGCAAAAATTTCATTTTACTGAAAATATCATCGTTGTAATACAATTAATCATTTTGAAACACTGATATTTGTGTTCAGCGAAGTCTCTCGAGTAAAACAGTACCCGCCATGTACAGGCTTTATGGTGTCTTGGAAAGTTACAGGGTTAAATATAGTGCTTGCGAATTCAAATCTCTGGATTCTCTGGGTTGTCAGGCATGTCAATCAAATTTTAATTAATGAAATCACATAATTATGTTAAAAGATTACTTAAATATACACATATAATTTTAATATATATATATACATATATATGTATTTAAATTCTACTGTATACTTATGTAATCATTTATGTAATTATATATATTTATCTCTATATACATATTTGCAGTTATTTATATTTTATATATAGATAGATAAATATAGAATGTCATGCTAAGTGTATTTTGTTTCCAATATATATATGTTTGTATATATATATATATATAACAAAATACAGTAAGAATGAAATTACATATGTACATATAATTTATTTGAATTTTTAATTTTTTTATTTGTTTTATTATTGTATTTATTTATTCTTGTAATTATACATGTATATATAAATATAAAATATATGTATTATATATAAAATATATATCATATATATGTAACTTCATTTTAAGTGTATTTTAATACTAATATATGTACTTATACTAACATTAAAATACACTACGTATGACGTTACTTATATAAGATGTGTGTATATAGAGGAAAATGTATTCATACCGTAATTTTCTTTTCCTGGTCATAGGCCATGGCAGCACAACAATGGGTAGCTCCTCCCCATCCCTAGTTAGACAGGAACTAATTAAAACAAGGGTATAAGTACCCCCTCCTATCCCTCCTACCCTCAGTCTTGTTTTCCAGCAAAAATCCCTGGGCGGGATCTTTGTGCTGCCATGGCCTATGACCAGGAAAAGAAAATTACAGTAAGTATGAATACATTTTCCTCTTTCCTGGCCATATCCATGGCAGCACATCAATGGGTAATACCCAAGCAAAACCAATGGAGGAAAAAGAATACACGGACTCAAAATATTTTGTATTGCAAGTGTATTAACACATCTATAAGTGAAATAATACAAAAAGAAAGACATTAGTTGGATGCTGAAAGGACATTTTTACCAAATTTGTCCCATTGACCAGCTCTGACATCTATTTTATAATGTCAAATAAAGGTGTTCACTGAAGACCATGTAGCTGCTCTGCAGATAAGCTCTGGAGATACAATCGCTGCGGCTGACCAAGAGGAGGAAAGAGACCTGATTGAGTGAGCCTTTAGACTGCTAGGTACTGGAACCCCACTGGCAAGGTAAGCCTGAATGATAGCGGAGACAATCCATCTGCTCACGGCCTCTTTAGAAACTTGGCGACCTTTCCTAGCCCCATTTGGGATGATGAATAGCTGATCCAACGAACGCCAGCCAAGAGATCTGTCAATATAGATTCTTAAACATCTTACCAAATCCAGTGGAGAAGAACCTCCTTCTTGGGAATGTTCTTCTTGCGTCAGGGCTGGAAGCACTATGTCTTCATTAACATGAAAGGCCGTGGTTACCTTAGGGCGAAATTCGGGAATGGTTCTTAGAACCATTGTGAAACACTGTGAAAGGCTCTTTTACTGATAAGGCACTGAGCTCCGAAACCCTTCTTCCTGATGCTAACGCCACCAGCAAAACGGTCTTGATGGTAAGAAGATGAGGAGAGATGGACTCCAGGGGTTCGAAGGGAGCTGACTTCATGGCTTGTAATACCAGGGGTAGATCCCATTGGGGAGAAAATGGCTTGATCAGAGGTTTAATCTTGAGGACTGCAGCATGAAACCTAGATACATCTGGATTAAAGGCCAATTTGTGGTCAGTGAGAGCTGAAAGAGCGGAGATATGTACCTTTAAGGTATTGTAGCTCAAACCCTTATCCAGACTTGTTTGTAGACACTCCAAGATGTCTTTAATTGCAGGATGCTGTATGTTAACCTGCTTGGGAGAGGCCCAGGAAGGAAAAGCATCCCAAATTCTATAGTAGGTAGAGTAAGTGGATCGCTTCCGAGCCTGTAACAGGATATTTGTGACTGCAGCCGAGAAACCCTTCTCTAGCAGCCCTTCCCTTTCAACCTCCAGGCCTTCAGGTTGAGTGATGCTGGGTCTGATGCTGAATAGGATAGGACCCTGGTGCAGAAGAGAAGGAACTGCTGGAAGATCCCACGGAGGTTCCTGACAGAGGCTCAGAAGAAGAGGGAACCAAGGCCGGCGAGGCCACTATGGGGCAATCAGGATCATGAAAACTAGTTCCTGACGAATCCTTCTTAGTAGAGGAAATATGAGGGGAGATGCATGATAGGGCATCCCTCTCCCAGGCCTGCGGTTCGTGACCCCTCGAGAAGAATCCCTGGAGCTTGTTGTTGTTGTTGGTGGCCATGTCTATCTGAGGAAGACCCCGTTTCTTCATAATATCCTTGAAGACTTCATCTGAGAGACTCCACTCTCCTGGGTCTATTCTTACCCTGCTGAGGAAGTCTGCTACCATATTCTGCACTCCTAGCAGATGAATTGCCACTAGACTCGCAAGGTTCTTCTGTGCCCAAGACATCAGTGGAATCATAAACCTTACCATACTGTGACTTCGGGTACCTCCTTGATGATTGATATGTGCTACTACTGTAGCATTGTCCGTTCTCACCTTCACCCACTTGTGCTGTAGTAAATGCTGAAAGTGTTTCAGAGCTCTGAAAACCGCCAGAAGTTCCAGAAGGTTTGAGTGGGTCTCGTGTGCATGAAACTCCCACTTCCCCTGGTGTCCTATTTCTGAAGGTAGGCTCCCCAACCCCAGTGACTGGCGTCTGTCGTTATAGTAATCCAGGGAATGTTCCCCAGGGGGAACCCTGAGAACAGAGCCTTCTTGTTCATCCACCATGTCAGGCTTAGATGGACCGGGGTGGAAATCCTGATGGGCTGGAGTAGATTCTTCCCTCTGTATTGGGAAAGAAAATTCCTCTGGATTGTTCTCATTCTCCATTGCGCCCATCTTGTCAAGCCTATGGTTGATGACATGGATCCTAGTAGGCTCATGACTTTCTCTGATGTGGCGACCTTGACTCTTCATATCTCCTTCACCTTTACTCCTCTTTCTCTTGAGAGCTGAACTGTCCCCAGTGCAGTGTTGAACAGGGCTCCTAGATAAAGCATGGACTGTGAAGGAATAAGGTGACTCTTTTCTCCATTTATCTTCCAGCCGTGTTCCTGCAGGAACTGAATGCAGATCTGTCCCTGTTGCTTGAGAGTGTACCTGTCCTCTGACAGCACAAGGATGTTGTCCAGATAATGAAAATTGGCAATGCCCCTCTTTCTTAATTCTGCTATCAGGATCACCAGGATCTTTGAGAAAGTGCGAGGAGCCATACTGAGGCCAAAGGGAAGGGCTCGGAACTGGAAGTGCCCTCCTTCTACTGCGAATCTCAGATATCTTTGATGCAGTTGAGCGATCGGAACATGGAAGTAGGCATCTTGCAGATATACAGACATCAGCCATTCCCCCGGGAAGACTGCTTTGATGATGGACTGAAGTGACTCCATTTTGAATCTTCTTATGTTCAATCGCTTGTTGGGGGTGTGAAGATCTAGAATGGGTCTCCATGCTCCTGAGGACTTCTTTGTGAGGAATAGGTGAGAATAAAACCTGTGTGTTCTTTCCTCCTTTGAACCTCCATAATGACGCCTTCTTGCTGTAGGGAAGAAATAAACTCCAGAAGAGCCAATCTCTTGTCTCTGTCTCCCAGCCATCTTGTAATTTGAAAACTGCGACGAGGTGGGGCATCTCTGAATGCCAGAAGATATCCTCTTTTGATGATGTCCAGCACCCACTTGTCTTTGGTAGAAGACTCCCATCTCTTTTGGAATAGGAGGAGGCGTGCTCCTACCCCTCCAGGCTGGGAGATCAAATCGTCATAAAGCTCTCGTGTTCCTACTGAATGCAGAGCCTCTGTATCTTCCTCCCTTGACTGAAGACTGTCCCCCTCTCCAATGCTGGGATCTTCCGTATTCTCTACCTGGTCTGTAGGATTTGAAGTCCCAAAAGGAAGATTGATCTGAAGGTCTTTTGGGTCGAAAAGATCTCTTAGGCCTACGATCTTAAGGTAAAAAAGCATTCTTGCCATCTGCCGCTTTCTTAATGCAATCATCCAGGTTCTTCCCAAAGAGCATGTCTCCATAGAGCGGTAAAGAGCAGAGGCTATTTTTAGATGAAGCATCTGCTGACCAGGATCTGAGCCACAAAGAACTTCTAGCTGAGATGGAAAATACCATGTTCCTGGTCATTGCTTTGACCATATCCACTGAGGCTTCAGTAGTGAAATCTACGGCAGCTTAATGTCTTGTAGACTGCCCATGAGGTTAGATCTGCTTCTGCCCTTCCTTCATGCTCAGAGACTTGCGGACCTTGGAAATTAAGTGATCCATTTCGGTTGGGTCCAAAGTGTCAGGAGCATGCTGTTTTTCCTCATCCGGGGAAGATGACCTCTCCCTGTATGTCTCCTCCATAGACACATCTGAAGAGTCGTATTGGGAGTAGTCGGGAGGATCTGGATATCTAGGTCTTTTGTGGGCTCTTTAATGCCTTGGGATACAGCATTTTGAATAATTTGCATCAAATCCGGGGTGGATGATGTGGGACATCCTGCAGCCTGTAGGCAATCTGAGCATAGGCGCTTACCCTCCAGGGCCCTCTTGTCACATGCTTCGCATAGGGACCTTGCGGGAGACTTTCCTTTGGATGTTCCAGTTGTCTTTTTCCCTTTAGTACTACTATAATAAGGGAAAAATATTAGCCAGCACTCTTTTGTTTAGAAGAAAAATTTAAGAAAACATATAGGAAATGGCTTACCCCTGAGATTTAGATAGTGACCTTTTACTTTGACCTCATGAGTTCATCTATAAACGTTAAGCCCATGAAATACTATAAGGCTTAAAAATAAGGTTCAAAAAACATCAACTGAATAAAAAACAAAAAACAGACCAACTGTGCCTTTAAAAGACTTACCTTCAGTCTGCACCACAAAACTGGGTGAAGACCGCACTGTACCATAGGAAAGTTAAATTTCAGTATTGGCGCTTTAAAAAGGGCGCCCAAACTACTGAATGACGTCATCAGCACCGCGACGTACCGCGCATGCGCAACCGGTACTTCCGCGCATGCGCAATGGCGAAAACCGGATGTCAAGGCAGCAAGGAGACCCCAGGTCTCCCAACCTCAGCAGACCACCAGAAATGTGGCAAAAATGCCACGAATAGGGACAGGGGGAACCCTAGATCACCAGGGAAGCCCTGTACTCCCCCAGAAGGGAGAATAAACACCGGCAGAGAACTGCTGAATCAAGAGGAGGAATGTCTCCCAATCAGAGAAGGCAGGATTAACCAGGAAAATGAAGGTAGAAGGGGGTATATCCATACTGTTTATGCCTTGCCCATAACTGCTACCCCTAGGGTCACTGCAGTCAGTAGGGTAGTGGCTCCTTATGCTTGCTACCCCTAGGGTCACTGCAATCTTTCCCCGGTCAATGGGGGGTTCTCCAGGGGGACACCTTTGCACAGGGCCGTATACTGGAGCTTCCCAAGGAAGAGAGGCTTAACTCCCCTGGGGCCAAGGGTAAAAACCATTAAAGTAAGCCATAAAAAAAATAGTTCTCAGTCTGAAAAGACTAATCTGTCCTAGAGATAGGACAGGAACAAAAAGACTGAGGGTAGGAGGGGTAGGAGGGTGTACTTATACCCTTGTTTTAATTAGTTCCTGTCTAACTAGGGATGGGGAGGAGCTACCCATTGTTGTGCTGCCATGGATATGGCCAGGAAATATATATATATATACACACACACATTTAATTTATTTTTACATGTTTAATTATTATTTTTTTACTCTTTCCACCAGCAGGGGGACTGTCTGACAGCCCAGACAGTCCCCCTGCAGGCAGATCCACAGCCAGCTATAGGGGGCCATGTGATCGCACTTTGAGAGCGATCACATGGCAACCAGGGACCTATTTTGCCGGGGGATGACTGCCTCGGCTGTCAGACATTACTCCCGAAGAGGATCGCAGCGGAGGTAAGTAGTTGGAGGCTCCTGGTGGCTTAAGCCATTACGGCATTCTATATTATAATATCTCCAATAAAAGTACCATTATAATAATTAGACAAAGTATTAAATATAGAAACACGTTTATCAGGAATGCAAACAAATCAGAATAAGGTGCTAAAGCAAACATTTCTGAAATGTATAAAGTGTACAAGTGGGTTGGAGCATTGATCAATATATGTGCCTTTCACACTGATTCTGACAAGAGATAAACAAACTACTGAAAGATAATAAATATGAATCAAAGTTCAAATATTCTCAAAAATATGAATTCAGCAACTAAAGTTTAACTTTTGTGTTGAATTCTTACAAGTAAAATCTGTAAAACAAATTACTTAATTAAATTAAGTAACCGATCAAGTACCAATTAGTACAAAAAAGTAAACATAACCATAAGTAACCATAATTACTTTTTTTGTCTATTTTTATCATTATATCTGCACAATCAAACTTATTTTGGGAAGTTAGTTATCATAAATACTTAAATAGGTAAGCGAATACAAGTAAGCGAATAAAACACATTTATCAGCTACAGTGATGATATAATTCTAATATGCAAACTTTGTTGCAATCACTTCATGTATATATAGATCATTCAACCACTAGACCCTCCTTGTTAAAGGAAAAAAAAAATAATACAATAAACAATGGTTCAGTCTAATTCTTATAATATCATATCATGTTGTGGTAACAAAGTGTACTTTGATATGAGAAGCACTGATCCCGGTGGACGCATTCTGCATACAAACAGCAACGTTTTACATTCCCAGCCAAAAGAGAATCAAAATCAGGTTTAGGTGTGTAGAGTGCTGTAAGCACCACTTATTACCAATGTATATGCAAAATAAATACTTTTAATATTTAAGAGTTAATGCATTTTTTTCTGCCTTTTGGCACAACGAGCTTACAAATTAAGAACAAAAATGCTAATTAATTGGTTTTTATCTAGAAGTGATCAGTTCTACAAATGTCTTGTTCCCTTTCAGAAACATTTCAGATACAGATGTACAAGAAAAATAATACATTCTTTCTTACTTTATCATCATCTGAACACTCCTCATGACCTTCTACTGGGTGCCAGGAAATCTTTGCAGGATTTAACCCATCAGGCTCATCCGCATCCACCAAGATGACTTTGCTGTTCTCCGGTACTAATCCTGATGTCTTTGCCACTGTTATGGCTGTTTGTAAATTATCGCCTGCGTTATAAATATGTAATAAATATGATTATGTGAATCAATGCGGCAGTTATCATAATTAAAGGGACACTGGATCCCTAAGCTTGCTGAAAAGCTTCATCTATGACAGATGTGTAGAAATTAGCACTTTTATAAATTAACCTGGTTACACCTCCTGGCTTTCAAGAAGACAACAAATCTGGTTACTTCAGGCTGTTTAGCTCAATGGAGCTAAACTCAAGAGGCACGCAACTACCTGTTTTACAAAGACTCCTCATTAAGCTGCATTAGGAAGTCTGTGACTGGACAGCAACAGAAAATCTAGGATGGATGAAAATTGTAGGGCTTGCAAAGACAGCAGGCAAGGTTCTGCAGTTTTTGAAAGCTGCTTTTGGATATAAAAACTTTATGCATGTGTGTTTTCATTTGGGGTATATCTGATAAACAGTGATTGTATATATTGGGCAGTGGAGTAACCCTTTAAGATGTATATCACAGTTTAAATAGCCTTAGTTTTATTGATAGGCAAATTATACTAAACTCCATTAGATTTTAAATAACTAAACTCAGTTGGAAAAGCTGTTTTGATTAATTTAGTCTTAGATAATGAATTGTGTCACATTCTGTCTTAGTGTATCTTGGTCCCCTATCAAATTTATCCTGGCATTCTGTTATAAGCCTACTGAAAAAATAGATACTTAATGTGGTCTCGACTATATTTTCTTCTCTTTTCATATATAATTTTTTCAGGTGTATATTTGAAGCATGTTGCATGTTGACATTTACATATACATAAAGATTGTCACTGTTGGTAAAATAGTGCATGTATTTTTCCCATATTTGTCCTCCAGTGTATTTGCACAGATGACAATCAGTTTCCCGTAATGCTCACAGATATTTAGTAGGAAAGTATATTATTAGTATATTATTTTCCATTGGTTGATAGAGAATTCCCGTAGGCATGCCTATGTCTTTCTCATGTTTGCGTGCAATGGGAAGAATGTTCTCTATGTCTAGGAGTATGTTCCATAAAACCAATCCTGCTATTTAGGACTTCATGTGACTTAAGTAGAATCAACTAGAATCAACTCAAACTAAAGCACAAAGCAACCAAACAAGTATTATTTATATAACTTAATTATCTGCCAGCAGTCTGATGATCATGGGTGTTGCAATTAATCAGATGGGAAACTTGCCTGTTGGCTACTCCTGAATCCCTTATTATATATTACCTGTAATCATTACTGTCCTGATGTTAGCAGAACTGAGCTCCTGTAAAACAGGTTTAGTTTCAGGTTTTAATCTGTTTTCTAGAATTAAAAGGCCAAGAAATTCCAGATTGGATTCCACATCCTCCCTAAAAAAAAAAAAAAAGAATAAATTAGAAACAAAAATAGAAAACCAAGTTTTTATTTTTTAATAAATATCATCTAATAAAATAACAGATTTTCCTTTAACTAATGCATAATTAAGTCTATCATTTTTATGGCTTTAATGTTTACGGCATTATTTGCTTCTCAATAACTAATTGAGGTGTGATTATAAAGTAGTTGTATATTTATACAATTAATAAAGTTAGCATGCTGGTAACCCAATCAGCATTTAAAGCCGTACATCACTGTTTACATAAACATAGATTTTGACTGATGGAAATGGTCAACATTTTATTTGTTAATAAAGTTTAATAATATATTAGAAAACAAATGTGCAAATTATGAAGAACTAGAATTGTAATAATAAATCATTATCTGCTCTATACCTCATATTTTATAAAATCTGAAAAGAACTTAAAGGGAAACAAGTTAAACGTGTTCTTTATCATTTTCTTATACATACAAAATATATTTCAATTCATATATATTATATTACTTGATATGAATTAAGAGAAATAGAGTGTTATTTTGCTTGTTTTTAGAATGCATCTATTTACTGTTTTTTTATTTTTATTTATATTTTACATCCCTATCCAGAGTTTCTACATGAATAAGTAACATAGCAATTAGTGCATAGATCAATTATAGAAGTACACATAAAATATTGGAATATAATGCTAATTGGCAAAGCAAATACAATAATGAAATGTGAATTAAGATTGGGTTTATATTATAATCAAGGCTGATTTTGCAATTATAATACAGTGCATATATCATATCTAATTAACAGTAGAAGTGCGTAATGAGAACAAGGGATAAGTGCTGTGAGATGATGAAAGAGATGGTGCTATGTTTATTCAATAAAGGCGTTATTAGATTAAAAAAATATCCAAGGCTTGGCTTCCAAAGAAAGGTTGCTAATCCTGTTTAAACTGTGAAACTCAATGTGTGCCTTTTTACTCCTGATTTAATTTGTTTTTTAGTCATCTATTTAATAAACATTTTGGATTATATATTGCCAGGTTCTCCATTGGGAATCTTTTGCCACAACACCTAAATCTTTGGATTACTCAACCTTGGTGGAGATGATACCACCCACACTGATTCAGTAGAGCACTTTCAATGCTCCAGATATTGTAAGTAATATTCTAGTTTATTCATTTTCTAAAGTGATACAGTGGACACTATATGCCCTTTGTTAGTGTTTTATATGCGATGCTTAGTTTGGAAGGGAATAAACAACCACATGTCACTAGGTAGGGATTGTACCACTGTACAATAAAATACAATAGTGAGTAGCCTTTTGTTTTCATTACTTTTACTAAGTATCTCTTAAGATACTACACCATTGGACTCTTTGTGTTTATATCCCTCTTTTTACAAAATTAATCAGGGCACATTGATACGATTGTATGCTGTTACAACCTAAGCTTATATTACGCTCCATTAAATGTCAGTCACCCTTTCTAATGTTATAATTTGGTGTTTTAATAAAATCCACACAGTTGGGATTCTCCTGTATTTGTGTATTTTTTCCATATCATATTGAGGCTCACATACTTAAAGACAATTAACAGAAGAATACGATCTGAAGATATTTGAAAGCTGTATTTATCAGAAGAAGATTTTTTGTGTATTCTGTATATCTCATTTATTGTCCAGAGTCAAAACCTTTGGTAGTTCTGTTTCTATATTAGACAGTATACAGTTTTCTTTATCTTACAATATGTCATGCAGTGTATGAAATGCTAGTACAAAAAAATATATATTTTTTCTCTCATACAGTAGATATGACAAAAAAACATAAGTTTGTAAATTAGTAAATTAGTATGTAAAAAATAATATCTTCATTTGAGAATAATGCCCACAAAAAGGAAATACAGTTAAATCAGATATTTCTAAAATAAAGGTATAAAACTGCTATATCAATGTTTGTAAATCTAGGGAATGTTTATGCAATGTTAACAGTGAAATGGTAGAATCCATTCACTCATCCCCCCTCCCTGACTGTAGGAATGACCCATTGAACCTTCCTTTACTGTTTGGAAGCAGGCGGTGAGCTTACATTTTCAGCAAACTTGCTTGCATTATATCAGTGACTAGTGGCTTTTAGCAGGGTAATTTGTTCATCTTGTTCTACATAGTTTAAATAAGTGTGAGTGAGGCTTTATAGACTATATTTCATTTGCCAAAATACATTAACATAAAAAAATGTTTATATTTGATTTTGGTGGTATAGTGGCTAAGGGTCCACAGTGTAGTGATGAGATCGCACTTTACAAAGACGATAATGTGTCTTTAAAAGATATCAGGGATCCTATTTGTTTTAAAAAATAAACTTCCTTTACAAACAGAACATGACATTTATACAACATTGAACAGTAAACCCCACTTATCAACCTCCCACTTTGCACGATACCTTAAAAAGTTGGATTCCCCTGAAATTTTATATCCTTCTAATGTTTTGTAAGCCAGTCCAATAACACGAAAACCCTTTGTAGTGTAAAACTGGAGCTCACTTGTAAAGCCTTTTGGAACTGAAAAAGAAAACATTACATTAGCTTTTTTTGTATATAGTGTACATAATAGAACTATCCAACTTTGTTTCCTGGAGAAGACTAGTTAGAGCTTTGGTGCCAGATTTACCTAAGTAAGTCATTAAACTATTCAATAATGGTTTGCCAAATTACACTGGTAATTCAGCAGGGCACTTCTGGCCCCACATCCACTACAGTATACATCTTTTAAAGAAGAAATCTAGACGAATATCAGATCCGTTTTAGTAAGCAAGTTTTCTGCCTGTCATTTTTCCTTTAAATTGCTTGTTTTTCATTGCAGGTATTGCTACTCTTAAAAGTTTTTTTTTTTTTATTATTGGAAAAAAATGTTAAGTCAGGATAATTTTAGCCTAAAATTCACGTGTCAAGTGACACTAATGTCCTTAGATGATTCTTGATGGAAGAGAGAGCATGGGTGTTCACTGGGTGTAATGACTGCAGAATATGTAATTTATGCAGGTTAATCTGTTACTCCTTTATACCTGTAAAGGAACCTGTCATGACAGGTTCATTTGAACTGATAACATCTCCTTAAGCAATGAATATATTGTTTGGTATTTTTGTATTTTTTTGCTTTATGATAAGTTACTAGCACAATATATACATTAATTTGTTTATCTTTTCATCTAAAGTATTGATGTGTGTACCATTACAGGCACACCTTAAAGGGATATTGTAGGAACTTCCACAACATAATCATATTGAAGTTGTTTAAGCGTACAGTCCTGCCCCATCTCCTACCCCCAAAAAGCCTACATTAAACTTAACTAATTAGAAGGCTTGTTAGCACAACTTCAAGCCACAACTCCAGGCCCCCTAAGGAAGAGATCGGAGAATCTACTTCCCGGCTCTCATACCGTAACATACAATGACATCACCAGTGTGACGTTTGGCAGCAAATTTCAATTTAGTTTTAGTCATAGTCTTTTGAATAAAAAGCCATTTTAGTTTTAGCTGTATTTTAGTCATCTGAATTGTTTTAGTTTTAGTCTAGTTTTAGTTGACTAAATCTCCAGTAGATTTTAGTCAACACGACTAAAATCTAGTGGGTTTGTCTATCTGTCTCTTTTGCCTCTTCCCCAGCCCCTCTGTTTCTCTCTTCCAAGCCTTGGTCCATCTCTTTTGCCCCTTCCACAACCCCTTTGTGTCTCTTTGTGGCCCTACAGTCCATCTGGGCGTCTCTCCCATAACCCCATGTCTGTCTCTTTTGCCCCTTCCACAGCCCCTCTTTGGCTCTTTGCTCCACCCTCTCCCAGCCCCTCTGTGTGTCTCTTTATCTCCATAGTTCCATTTGTGGGTCAAATTCCCCCCAGCCTGTCTATGTCACTTTGTGTGTCCCCCAGCCTCTCTATGCATCTCATGTCCCCCATGTGTCTCATTCTCCCAGCCGGCCATTGGTCGAAATTCCTCCCCTAGCCCCTCCATGTGTCTCATTCTCCTAGCACCCTTCCCCCTCCCCCCCCCCAAGTCATCCAAATTGGTTTAGTTTTAGTCTAGATTTAGTCAATTAAATCTCTATGAGGAGCATTGGATCTGCCAGTTTTCTTTGAGGCATGCCTCCAGGATGACGCAAACCGAGGAGGAGGTTGTGGCAGTGCTGACTGAGGCTCGGCATTTGAGAAAAGGTGAGTAATTTGTTTGTTTCTTTCTTTCTTTTCTTTTTTTTTTTGTACAGATGGGGGAGTGCTAAACGACATTGGGACATCAGGATTATTGTACTGTATTAGGAATACAAATAAGTATTCCTAAGGCTACATTGTTCCTTTAGGTTCAAATTCTAAATTGCCACCAACAACTAAAGGCAGCTAATGCAAAACTGGTAGGACATTCTATAATAAAATGGGTGCTCAAAAGACAACCCTTTAACATCCTGGAACCTTTAATGGATAAACAAATTCTGTTTTCTGCTCTCTTTCTGTTTGTTGTATCACTACCTCTTTGTAAGTGGAAGATGAAAAGGTAGATTTATAGATGGTATGCTCATCTACACATAGCTCTCACTATCTTATTCACAGAACCCAAATGTGTCTTGTTGAACTTGCATGTATGTCTTGTATGCCCATTGTATAAAGCTGTGGAATATGTTGACACAATATCAATAATAATAATAATGATGATAAAAAAGCATCATGAAGAAATTGTATATTTGTGCATAATGCTCTACCATATGATTAATATCAGAATGTAGAATTTCTTTCTGTGCAATACATTGTTTTGTTATTTTGTTTTTGTGCTATTCACTCACCAAGTGCTGTATTTCATTAATTTAGCTACTGTCACAAGAAAAAGAAATACCAACTATCATCATTAATATAAATATAAAACTGTATAGAAAGTATAACATTTTTTAAAAAAGTGCAGTCACCATATGTTTAATATGTGAATGTAGAATTTCTTTCAGCACAATAAGTTTTTTATTTTGTTTTTATGCTATTCACTCACTAGGTGCTGTGTTTCATTATTTAGCTACTGTCACAATAAAAAGAAATGCCAACTATTATGATAATTCTAAAATGTTCTTTTTTACTGTTTAAAAAAAATAAAACAATGTGTTGACTGCTGAACAATTTTCAAAATGTATTAAATATAGGAATTTTCATATTGGAAAAAAGCCCTTACCGCTTTCTGATTTGCAAAACGTTGTTACCATTTCTGGAGCTCCTTTCATATAAACAACAAGTTTATCATCACCAATGGCATGGGTCACTACAGACATGCGTTGAAGGCTCGAGGAAAATGGAAACTGGTGGACAATGGCAATCCCTTCCACTGGAACCTAAAAAAGGCAACATTTTGTCTTGGTCACAGTGATGGATATAGTGGTGTGCAAGGAATTGTTTCCTAAATTTCTATTTCTAAGTTCTGAATGCTTGTTTCATGTATGGTCATGTACTCTATCAGTAATTTTAACTTTTGAATACTCCGTAACAATATTTCCGTAAATTTAAAGATTTAAGTTTAACTTGTCAAGTGACTACAATTACACTATAATAATATAATAAGTGAGATTTCATTTATAGAGTGCCAGAGAACAAGTGTAATTAGGAGTTGGTGGCACCATTTGAATTAGGCTTTATTCTAAAGAAATGCTTAGCAGGCAAGCACTTAAAGGTACACTCCAGACCCCTAAAATACTTAAGCTTTCTGAAATGCTTTATCTGTGAAGATTGTGTACTCTTTTATAATTTACAAAACGTGCAGATTTCAATAGAATTTGGCAGTTTTATAAGTTAAAGGACCACTCTAGGCACCCAGACCACTTCAGCTTAATGAAGTGGTCTGGGTGCCTGGTCCAACTAGGGTTAACCCATTTTTTTTATAAACATAGCAGTTTCAGAGAAACTGCTATGTTTATAAATAGGCTAATCCAGCCTCCAGTGGCTGTCTCTAGACAGCCGCTAGAGGCACTTGCGTGCTTCTCACTGTGAAAAGATGCAAGCATCCATAGGAAAAAATTATGAATGCTTTCCTATGAGACTGGCTGAATGCGCGCAGCTCCTGCCGTGCATGTGCATTCAGCCGAAGAGGAGGCGGAGAGGAGGAAGAGAGCTCCCTGTCCGGCGCTTGAGAAAGGTAAGATTTTAACCCCTACCTCTCCCAAGAGCCCGGCGGGAGGGGGTCCCTGAGGGTGGGGGCACCCTCAGGGCACTATAGTGCCAGGAAAACGAGTATGTATAATCACACACTCTCATACATATGGAAATTCCAGACACACTAATTGGTACAAATGTCAGAAAGACAAACATGGATATTCAGAGACATACGTTTTCAGACACATGTCGATACACAATGTCAGAGACATATATACACACTCACAGAGAGAAAAATGTACTGCCAGACACATACAGACATAAATATGCTGACCGAAACAAAGTCACACACACATATCCATACACTGTCACACACAATGTCAGATACATACACACTATACATGCTGACAGACACACACTGCCACACTCACATGCACTGTCACACACACTGTCACATACACATAAACTATCATACATATTGTCAGATGCACATACATTGTCACACACATATACTGTAACAAACACACACTGTCAGAAATACACACACTGACTTTCAAAATGAGTGCTCTCATTCCAGTGAGAGCCTGATGCCTGCTCACTGCTCTTCTCTGCCAGCCACCCTCCAGTTTCTGTGAGGGAGGATGGCTGGCATTTATTCCTGCAGCTACCCATCAGTCACCTGGCACTCTGGGAAGGTGGGTGAAATTGCATGTGTCCTCAGTATGTACCAGCCACCCTTTTGCACTCTGAGAGGGAGGGTGGCTGGTTTCTCTCCCTACAGCCCCATTAGCCAACCACACTTTACTCTTTACTCATTTGTATTGAGAGGATGGGTGGCTGGGCTTTTCTCCCTGGAGTTGCATTTCAACCAGCCTCTAACTGCACTGTGTGAGGGAGGGTCACTGACAAACTGTCAACATGCTCTATCAGCAACTGTTCCTCTGCTGTTTTCAAATGGAGTATGGAGGATGCGATATGATGTCACATGCCCTGCCGTGGTCAGTGTGAATACAGCATGGACAGGGGAGAATGCCTGCAGGCCGTTTCCCCAGTTCTACTTCCTGGACAGCAGCATTATCAGGAAGGTCAGGCTGCTTATCTGTCCACTGCTCCCCCCTCCCTCCCCTTGGAATGTTGGAGCTGTTGGCCAAGCTAAATGCAGAGAGCTGAAGTCGTTCTCTCTGTGTTCAGCTCTATTTAGTTCACAGCCTGGCTGCTGGTGATGCTGTGCTGTAAACTTATAGACACTGCTAATTTGCAAACAAAATGTGTTTGCAATAGAAAAAAATGAATTAGCAGTTATGCACATCATGTATTCATGATATACGGGGTATGAATGCATACCTTAGCAATTGTGTATACATTAGTGCCAAGATGAAGGGGTTAAAAACTTGTCATTAAGCTACAGTGAAAAGTCTGGGTGTGGTTAGAAGAGGAGGGCTTGTAAAGTCTGCAGACAAGATATCTGCAGATTTCACAAACTGTTTTTAGATATACCCTAAGTGAAAAAAACGCATAATTATTATTATTATTATTTTTTAATAATTCTTTATTCAAACACATTTTTCTGTTACAAAACATATAATAGTCAGTAACATATATACCTTAGGTATGTTATTATAAAATATCATTATTTATCTTCATTGACCATACGATTTCAACAAGACACACAACTTCTTACATCAAACAAACAATAACAAAGACATTTTAACAACTATACAACCAATCACCCATTCAGAGTAGGAAACACATCTTCTAAAAGTATGTTATATCGTTCTTTACTTTTCTTTTTCTTTTTTTTATTATCCCTCCCCTCTCTTCCCATTCTGTTTCTCCTCTTCTCCTTACCCTTCTGATTTCTCTCTTTCTCTCTATTTTCTCTGTTACCTCCCTTTCTCTCACTTCTTTTTGGCTCTTATCTTGTTATTTCTGAATTATATAAAGTAATATTTATTTTTGTATTTGGACAGTGGAGTGTGATCTTAAGTAATAATATTGATTCAGCTTCTTAAGTAATGTCCATACTAAAATTTCCCTAATCATGTTAGTAGTACAAAATCTCACCTTATCACAGGCTGATCCAGGCTTCACAATCAGACTGGATGTTGATATTTCATTATTTTCAGAGTCTGGTTGGTTGATTTCCTGAAATTAATGTTTCTCATTCATTATCATAGTATAGAATTTGGTACAGATGATATGTTTATTTATCAAATTTATACTGCCACAGTAAAATAACCATGCTCAGATACATCTCCTGAGGACACCTAATTATAGATAGAATTTTGAGCCATCTTAGCAAAAAAATAAACCAAAAGCACCTACCATTCACAAAAGTAAACACCATGTTACCACAGATGCCATCTCATTTACTCATTTATTAGTTTGCAAAGCATTTGCAGTTACATATTTTAGGATATATCATATGGTGCACTACATTTTGAGTATTGCCATGAGCCATTGCATCATGAGTATATCAGGTTTTACCTAATTTAGCTAGGGTTTTGTAAAGTTCCACCAGGTTACTTAAAGATATGTACATTATTAAGTTAGATCACTACACACAGATTATCATTTAGCTCAGGATCACTAATTCTGGCCTCAGCTAACAAACGACATTACCAGGTACTGAGAAATACTGAGGCAAGGAAACAGTCCCTGATGGTGGAAAACCTGCATGAAAGAGTTATTCTATCTTGCATCAATAAGTACCAAATGAGTTTGACAGAATAATCCATGTAGCACAAAGGGATAAACAGGAAACAAAGAAATACATTCTACACATGTCCTGCATACAAATGAGTGCCTCTTACCCAGTGTGTGCCTTCAAACATCTTCACATCTAAAGGATCCCCTTGTAAAGTCCCATCAATGTTTACTAACGAATGGCAACTGCTCATAGCACCAAGTAGGGGTCCCCAGGGCAATGTGTTGCCAGATGTAAAATTGAGTATTTTCTGAAAACTAATAATAAATATAAACATTAAATCTCTAATAAAGAGCATTATAGGGGATGTAAACATCATTTAACCATAACACATTCAATGTACTGTGTAAAATAATGTAGGAACTGAACCATGCAAAGACATCGATTGGAGGAAGTATGTTAGGAGCACTGACTATAGATCTCATGAAAACACCCTAGGTTTTAGGCTATAAGCAGCTTGTACAACTGATGCATGAGCTGGAACATGTACTAAAATGCTACTCGTTTGTTATGGCCAAATAATTAAAATGACACTCCAGTGGAACATGCATAACAAAGTAAGTGGAAATTGTAATTATATTGCCTAATGTTCCAACTGCTTAAGAGAAAAATAAATTTGGATCCATAGCTTGAAGATGGTATCAAATGTCAAGGTTCTTTGGCACACTTACCTCTTCTCACTGGCAGGAAGTAATCCCCAAAGGTCTAGGCCATCCTCTGTCAAAGTACCAGTCTAAAATATAAGAAACATATTTAATCTCTATGTTTAACAAAAATAGTCACTTGATGTGCAATTTGATCTTATTTAAGTGCAGTTTTGATTTGGAGAACCATGGAAAATGGAGAAGCATTTTATGGAGTTTTGGCCTTTTTTAATAGAGTTTGATATTTGAGTTAAGTAATATTTTAATCATTGTAAGCTTGTTCAGACAGGGCCCTGTTCAATTACTGTTCCTGTATGTCAAATGTAATTTACTAGAATTCTCTTGTTTTACCTATTGTACAGCACTGCAGAATATGATAGCTCTATAAATAATTGAAATTGCCTTCTTTACCATTGGATAGTAGAACATTTTCACAAAATAATAATAATAAGGCATATGTAGCATGACTCTCTGGGTGCCTAAGAGTGTTCCAAGTTACCTCTTTAATCCCTTTGCAACATAACAGTTTTTATAAGAAAACCCTAAACTCTTTAGCCATCAGCTTCTTCCCCTTTAACCTCTTGTCCACATTCCCATTTATAACCTCATAACTAGATTGTAGGCTCATGAGCTACTTTGAAAGCAGCGTTCTTGCAAAGTGTGATTTATGATAAATTGTAACTCATTGACCAGGTTGTTTTACAATGTCTGTGTTGTAATGTCTGTTTTATATTAGCTGAACAGCACTGAGAAATCAGTTTGAGTTTTATAAATACGAAATAATAATGTGGACTATAAAACATAATACATGTAGCAATTGTATCTAATCAGCCTTGTACATAGATGAACCACTGTAGTCAATCTCTCTCCATGCAGCTTTGATAGAATGCCTTCACTCTTACTGATGCACAACAAAAGATCACTTTAGCAAAGGATTCTTAGGGACTCAGAAGAAACAAATAAAGTGCCTCAATAAAGAACATACAGGATGCTATCTCCTCTATACGGTTTAAGAGATTATATGGAAATGAGAAAGAAAACAGAATCTTATTTTAAAGCAAGAATTACATGCATCATTCAACTCCATACGGTGTAACTCTGCAAAACAGAGATCTCTATTTCGGTTTACGTTCAATATTCTCTCAGATTTTTTCTCATAAATGTACTAATTACAAACCATATATTAATTGAATATGTATATATATATATATATATATATATATATGTCCCACAGGGAATTCATCTGCCCACTCAAAAATGGCGACGTCCAGGACATAAGTCCGAGCACCAAATAAATATTTTAAAACAAGGTAAAATGGGGGGCCTAGGGGCATTCGGGGTGACTAGAGGGACAATACAATGTAGTGGAGTCGGGAGGGGATTGAAAAAATAAATATGGATGCAGCCATGACAGTGCCGATTTAAGAAAAGTATTTTGTAACTGTTGTGCGTTTAGTTGCGATGTTAGTTTACCTTTCAAGATTACTTACCTTATCAAAACAAATAAGGTTAAGGCGTCCACACACATTTATCCTTTGAGGGCTAATACAGAATATCCCTTGTGTTTTAAGTCTGCGTTGAGCATACATTATGCCAGTTGACAACGCTGCTGACAGGGCTGGAGGGACAGCAGTGGTTATAATGATCAGAGCTTTGATCACCACCTCAGTAGGAGATTCCTTAAACATGGAGGACAAATATTGGAGTATAAGGATTAATGATGTGTAAAAATAAGAAAAGCAGGTAAATTACTTCATTTTGAAGACAAATAATGTATAACTATATAGATTACCCCCTCTTATCAACACAACCAAGTGTTGTATGCACTAGAGAGCAGGTCTATGTTTGGGGGAATTCTACTAGAACAGGGATTCCCTTGAATCTATGTTTAGGGGAAATTCCTCTGAACATAGACCAGCTCTCTAATGTGGGGAATCCCTCAAATTGCGCTATAGAGAGCTGGTCATACGTCTGAACTGTCGCTATGCAGGTAAGTCACTAAGTGTGGACTACCTGTATTGTTTTTATTTAACAAAGTATTTATAAAACGAAATATTGGTATAATGTATAACTAGATACAAAATGTGATTGTCATTTCAGAGTCATTTTTGTAACATAAAGTAACATCTTTTCAACTTTTGTTTAGTTTGTAAGTACAACTGTATCTGCATGTAGACCTTGAATTAAAATTTTGCTACCTTCACCCAAACTATTTAACTGAAGTGTGGGTTACAATTGTTTCAATTAAAATAAGCCATATATAGTTTTAAACCAGTGTATCATTTTAGTTCAGTTAAACATTACATTATATCACCATTAGATGGAGTCAACAGAAAATAATTAGCTGAGTTAGGTTAACACATCCAACTGTTAATCTTACCCCATTCATGACAAAAACAGCGACTGTATAGATTGTTCCAATTACAGCAACAGTTGCCAAAATCATTAGAAATCTGAAAGCGTCTCTGTACAGCTTGAAATTCATAGGCTTTGGGTAGAGGATAGACCTGACCATATCACCTTTCGCAGTGTTAAAACCTGCAAATTCATACAAATGTAGATACTATTATGTTATATGTAATGCATATCATTCTACAAACAGCTGATAAGTGATTTAAATGTGCTTATTCACTATTTAAAATATGAGCACCAAAGATAACTTGAAAAATATTATTAGGGCATCTTTCTCTTTATTAATTGAATTTAAAATGTGACTTCATTTAATTTCATTACATTCCATACTGAGAGTATGAAGCTGAAAACAAATTGCGTGTGTCGTACTGTACCATACATTAAAGGACCACTATAGTGCAAGGAAAACATACTCCTTTTCCTGTCTCTATAGGGTCCTTTGGTCCCCCTCACCCTCCGGGTCCCCCTACCGCCGGGCTTTAGAGTGAGGAAGGGGTTAAATTCCTACCTTTTTCCAGCACCAGGCTCCCTCGGCGCTGGGGAATCTCCTCCTTCTTTTGCCGTCATCGACTGAATGCGCATGCGCGGCATGAGCCGCACGCACATTCAGCCAGTCTCATAGGAAAGCATTCTCAATGCTTTACTATCAACGCTGGCATCTTCTCACTGTGAAAAATCACAGTGTAACATTCCTGTGAAATGCTCTGATCGTTACGGTTTTAATGGCAATACTGCTGAACTAATAAAATTGTGTGATGTATACATATGTCAGTTTACTATGAAGTATAAAGATGTATGATATCTTACCCGTTCTTAGAACTACTGCCTTCACGTGACCATGACCTGCTGATTTTGTCTGAATTACTTCTGTTCCACAAAAAAGGATGTGTCTTTTGAAGTCCTCACCACTGTGTTCTTTCCAGGGCAAGGTACGATCAAGATGGGGAAGTGGAATCTTACAAACAGGAACACTTTCACCTGTAACAGATTAGGAATCCCACATGTTAAGTTTATTTACCAGTGTAATTTATCTCCCAATATTTCACAGATATATGGTGGTATTCTGGCCATGTTTCTTGACACTATGCTTAAAATTAAGTTGTTATTATTATTATTATTATTATTATTATTATATTATATTATTTGATATAAAAAAAACATTTACCGTGTGCGATATGCCAATCTATGTTCAAACATTTTCAATAAAAAGTATTAGATTTAAAGGTAAACTAAAACTTCAGAAGTTTTATTAATTTCCCAATGTTTAGAAAATATGTGTTTGAAAGGTGTGAAAAATATTATATATATATTCCTGTCAGCTTTGTCCTTTGTACCTGGCAGTCAATACAGAGAAAACATGAGAGGAAATATTAAAGGAACACTATAGGGTCAGGAACACAAACATGTATTCCTGACCCTATAGTGTTAAATCCACCATTTAGGTGGCTTGCCCTTCTTTAGCCCCCTTAAAAATTAAAAAAGTACCTTATTTTCAGCACTACGTAGGTCCCCGCCCCTGATCTGCCACCTTGCTGACATCATCAGAATTAAAATTTTCAGCCAATCCAATGCTTTCCTATGGGCCGGCTTGGCCAATCAGCACCTCCTCATAGAGATGCATTGAATCAATGCATCGCTATGATAAAAGTTCAATGTCTCCATGCAGAGCGTGGAGGCGCTGAACGACAGTGCTGCACACTGTGCAGCACTGCCCCAAGAAGCACCTCCAGTGGCCATCTGAGAGAGGCCACTGGAGGTGTCCCTAGGGGGCAATGCAAGCACTGCCTTTTCTCTGAAAAAAGCAGTGTTTATATAAAAATGCCTGCAGGGAATAATTATACTCACTAGAACAACTATATTAAGTTGTAGTTGTTCTGGTGACTATAGTGTCCCTACTACAAATGCTTCTATTTCTTCTCATTTACAAAGTGTGCTGTGTTGTCAACTTAATTGTCAATGTTTTATTCAATGGTGTAATTTTCAGACAAGTGACAGTTCCACTTTAAGATAATAAACACAAATTTCAATAAATAAAAGGGTTCTAAAACCAATATAACCAATGTTGTTGTGTACCTGTGAGCATGCTTTCATTTACAATACATCCCCCGGTGATCAGTATGGTATCACATGGTAAAAATAGTTTTTTTCCTGTAAGAACAAGTACATCTCCCGGCACCAAACATTGCGACTCAATCTCTTTGCATTCTACAGAGATGTCAGAAAAAAAAAGGTTACTACAAACCATGCAACGTGATGCTAGTCTATGATTAATTGGCTGCAACCAATGTCGAGTTCTTATTATGAATTTATACTATTTTCTCCTGTCTCTGTTGCTATATAGTGGGAGACAGCAAAGAGGTAACAAACAATGAAAAACAGCATAATCTCAATTTAGAGTATGTAGCAAAAAACAAGGAGTATGCATCTTCTGTGCTTTTTAAAGTATGTTTAAAATTGGCATAAACATAGTTAGGGACATTCCCTATACTCCAAATGGTCTTGCACCCAATGGGGCAAAATCATTCAGCTGCATACAGGGCCATTAAGACTGCAATATCAAGATATTGTTAACGCTATTCAACAACGTCCAGATTTTGCAAATTCAGACCTGAATTTGGTCGAGATTTCAGTCGGACTGAATGCCACCGGACAGCTGAAATTTGAATACGAATGCTTCACATCTAGGCACGGATTAAAACTATTAGAAAAATCCACACTCTTGTGCACTGGCAGCGCTAGCTACTAACTGACAAATAGTTACCTTCGGTGGCACAAAGCTTAATTATGTAGCAGCTAAATAAGAAGCTAAAAACAAAACAAAACAGGGTGGTCTTAATAATTTAAGGGCGGTAGGTGGGGCTTAAAATAATTATACAATGGAATGGTGGACATCATGGATCTGTCCACCTCAATCATTCATTTTAACATGTATTTTATAAGTCCCCCTTGTTATTTAGCTGCTGACATCCTCATAGGATGGGGCCTTCAGAGCAAACGGGCAGCAATGGCTTCCAAGTCACTAGTTTTAAAACCTCCCTTATAGTAATATGGGGTCTTATTGACCCCCATAAGGTTTTTATTTATTTATTTCGAGCTTCTAGCTTCTAGCAAGCGCCGGCCAGCCACCACATAATTAACCCTTGCAGCGTAAAAAACAAGTGAATGAGTACTTGCAAATGTGCATCCTGCCGGAAGCATTTGGTACTGAAGTTTAGTAAAACTGGTGCTATGTGAATATTCCGAATCCTATACTTTGTATAGGATTTTGATGCAAAAACACTGATTTTAATACGGACTCTGAAAGCATCCAGCCTATTGCAGCCCTACCTTATTCCAACTGTATTTGGCTTTTGTAAATATGAGAATTGCCATTGTGGTCAGAAATCAGTCATTTTTCCTGGATTTTAATCCAGTGTTTAGAGAATAACCATATGTATGTGTTTTAGGTTTGGTATTAGGTTCTCACAGACTTTACATATGATTTTGAGTTTTTAGTTGTCAACTCAAGCATTTGAGTCTTCGTCATTTCATTTTCACAGCGATATTTTGTTGATTAAAAAGTATCAAAACTGCATCAGTTTTGCTCGCTGTGGTAATTTAGCACTCTTGCTATACATTGTGAGATGTGGTTGCTAGGGTTTATTTGCTGGGCACATTTAACTAATGGGACACTTGTCGCGCACAATGTCGGGCACGCGGACTGCATAAGGAGCAAGCCTCATGAGGTTTGATGGAGCAGAGGCTGTTGGGTAAGTATTGGTCAGTTTAGGTTAGCAGCAGAGCGCAGTGAGGGTTAGGTGCAGGGCAGCACGCGCTATTAGCAGAGCGGGAAGGTCGTGATCAGGGCAAGAGCCCTGATTGGTAGATCACCTTGAAGATGTCTGGCACAGTTGAAGTACTATTAGAACAGTTGAAACAAGAAGCTTTAAGCTGTGGAGATACAGCTGCAAGCCTGTTTAGAGTCAGCCCTTGGTACTTCAGGTCTGAATGAGGGAGGGGAGGAAGGGGCTGAGCTACAGGAGGAGCTAGTAATGGAGGTGGACACAGGCTCATATCCTCTAACAATTAAGGGGCCAGTGCAAACAGAGAAGTCTGGTGAGAGTGACCCCTGCAGGATTCATGAAGAGAGAACAAAGAGATCCAGAAAGTTTCTCACTATCTCCAATAAAGCAAGAAGAGGCTGTGGAAGCAGAGCAGAAAGTTTGAACAAAAGAAGAAGAAAATGGAGGCTGAGGGGAGACCTAGGCTGACTGAGGTGATTGAAGCTGCCCAGGATGTCATGGGTCACAGTCATGAGATGGGTGAGTCACAACAACTGTGAATAATGCTGTTTTAGGTGATATGGTATTTTCACAAAAAAATGATCAAATTATTATAAAAACCTAGATTAGTGAGCGTATAGGAACAAGGGACACAAGTGGACATAGTTAACCTTAAAGTGACAGTCTGTGAGAGAAGAGATTAGAGTTAAGAGATATGCATGAAGAAAGCGTGATATGAAAGTTCAGCAAATAAAAGATAGATTATGGAAGAAAGTCAACAATGTACTGCAAAGGCTTTTGAATCTATGCTAGTGTCATTTCAACATACAAAGAAGCATAGATGAATTTTGGTGATTAACAATTTTGTTTAAAAAGTATTATTAGCGTTCAGAGTAACATAAAATGGAATGAAAAAGAAGGCTATGCTACCTTTAGAGACAGCTAGTTTATGCTAACAGGCAGGTTAGTACAAATATAACATAAAAAATAAGTTATAAAAAAAAAACAAAAAAAAACACAGGTTTGCTTTTGATGCATTTCAGTGTTTAAATAAATGTAGATTCTGTCAGGAATGTGCTACCTCTTCAGGTGCACACAGTAATTTTCGTTGTTTTAAAAGAGGCCAGCAAAGCAGTACATTTTAAAGCACAGACCTCAGGGAGGCTGCGAAGATTACTGCATTTTCTAGATAGTATTAAAAATTGGAGAAGACAAAGTTTGAAGATTTTTGGTTTCCGGTTACCTGTATATAATTTAAAGTTAAAAATCAATTTAGAGTTGCCAAATATATAGCGTAGGTAAAGATTTGTAAAGAGTTAAAGCTAGGCAGGATTGAAAGTCCTTTCTCTGTTCATCCTTGCAAGTTTTAGTATTTCCGTGGGTTTAGTTCCAAAGAAGGAGCCAGGGTCATTCAGATTGATACACCACTTATATTTTAAGTGAGAATATTTAAATGACGTGATTCTAAAGGAGGATAGTTCAGTGTCATATTCAACTTTTGATAAGTTTTAAATGTGGTAATAGAATGTGGGAGGAGGCAATATTATAGCTGCTTTTAACTCTGACCAATTTAGTCCGAGTCATTTAATTCGTAAATTTTTCAATTTGAAGGTCGTATTTTCGGCAGGTGCTTACCAGTTTTTTTCGTGTGCTTGCATGTTCTTACTTTGAGTTATTTGTGATGTTATTGAATGGATAGTTCGATTCAAGCCTGGTCAGAGAAAAATAGTGCACTATTTGATGATTTTATTGTGGGCTCCAAAGAGAGTGGCAACTATAAGAGCCTGTTAGAAATTTTTCAAAAGGTGACTTATAATTTACGTATTCTTTTAGCAGCAGATAAGACGATTTTATCCAATTATTTACTTGTCTACAATTCCTGATTAAAAAAAAAAAAGAGAGAGAGAGAGAAAAGAAATATGGAATTTAGGTTGCCGGAGGAAAGGATTAAGAAGATAAGGATGCTGATTAAACAGGTAACGGGCTGTGGAAAAGTAACTTTAAGGTGCTGCAATCACTCTTAGGTTTGTTGTATTTGCATCAAGGGTTATCCTAATGGGGAGAGCATTTTTCCAAGAAAATCGGTATAACAAAGGCAAACATTAACCTCCCCCCCCCCTCGGCTCACAATGGAATAACAAGAGAATTAAAACAAGACTTAAAGTATAAAAAAAAAAAAATAATAATAATAAATAAATAAATAAAAATATTGTAAAGTTAATGGGGGATCAATGTGACAGAAGGAGTTCACAGATTTAATAATTTGGAGCTGTTAACTGATGTAGCAGGTGCATTGTTTTCGGTACACAGTGGGAAGGACAGGGGGGTTTTCTCTAGAATGGCCAACAAGGTTTTAGAAAATAATTTCAACGTGTTTAGAGTTATTCCCCATCGCAGCAGCCATACTTATGGGAGAGTATGGAAAGGTAGACGATTGATTGCTATTTATGTGATACTTTGAGTGTAGTGATGGTACTCAATTCCTTACAGTCTTTGGTGTAAAAGGGTAGTTAATTTGCTGAGGCATTTGGGTTTTAAGGTATCTGCAATTCAATACCTAATAAAAAAAATAAAATAAAAAAAATAAAAATAAATAATAATAATAATAATGCAAAGTCGGGCATATACCAAGAAAATTAAAAGGCTGGTTGATGCTCTATCAAGTTTAAAATTACAGAAGTTTCGGGAAGCGAAAGGAATCCAATTTTTCATCAGACCTTTGGGTATAGTTTGGGACAGTTAAGTGTTCTTATAATTAATTTAGTGGCAGCTTCAGTTTTGCTTTCTTAAGTTAAGGGCATGGAATGAGCGGGGAATTTTAAAAGTAAGTGGTAAAATTCCATTAGAAGAGGATAAGGAGAGTGCAGTGCAATTTATAGTTCATGTAATGCAGAAAGGGCTTTTCTAAATCAAAGTTACAAGTGATTTAGCAAAGGTGGATTTCTTCTGAAGCTGTGTGATGGTAAACCAATCAAACAGTATTTCATAGTTCAGCTAGTTAAAGGTGGTAGGAGAGTTTGTCAGGTTAGGGATAATAGAAAACCTAATACATTTTCGGTTTTGGCACAGTTAGTGGAAGATTTTGAAGGCGTATATTATTCTTCATTGAGTTAGTTATTTAGATGCCTGTTTATATCAGTTTTCAGTTGTAGGATTGGTGAGTTGATACAAGGAGTAAATTTTGTTTATCGGGTGTGCTGTTGGAGGATGTTATGGTGCACAATAAGAGTATTGATATCTATTAGAAAACCTAAACGGTTCAAGAGGGAAACGACATATGGTTGACATTGTTTAATATTAAAGTTTCTTTTGTGCCCTGTAAAGTGACGGAAGAACAGTTATCAGTAAGGCCAAGAGTAAAGGGCCCATTTTATGCATGCTGATTTAATTCTTTAACTTAATTTCAATTCATAAAGGTTAAAAATAAATAAATAAATAAATAAATAATAAAAAAAAAATTATATCATTTGGTTGGGCAAGGAGTGTTACTCATCTTGTTCTTTTAGAATTGGAGCTGCAAACAAAGCGGCAAGGTGTGGTTGAAGTGATGGAATCAGTCAAACGTTGGGAAGCCGAGACTCTAACAATTTCAAGTATATGTCAGGCTTCATTCGATAAATAAATAAAATATTCTATTGGTAAATGGTTACTTGGTATTTATGAAAGTTATGGGTTTTATGGAAATTAGTACATATACTAATAATTTCTTCTTTTGTTAGGTCTTAAGAAGCCGGCTTTTGTCTGGGTCATTAGTTATTCGTTTATGGTATGGGCCCGGAAGAGGGCACAAGAGCGAACATATGGTGAAAACTTGGTTTGGAAGCACAGTGGTTAAAATATTTTGGCAATGGTATTCGTGGTGTGAAATGGTCACATTTATTTGAGTTATTGCAACAATTTACCTTGGTTTTCCTTAACCAGTTGTGATAGTGGTTCATCTGGGAGGAAACAACATTGGGTCAATAGAATCGGTCAATTTGTGGTAAGTAATTAAGAAGGATATGGTTTTTGTGGCAAAAAAAAAAAAAATAAAAATTTGAGATGTTCATTTTATTTGGTCGGAAATTATACCAAGGCAATGCTGGATGAAAATAAGGCTATTCAAACTGCTTAAATAGAGTGTTAGAAAGTTTTTGCAGTTTCGGTTGTCTTTTTAAAAGACAGTTATTGAGGGCAGTTGCTAAGGTTTATATAGGAATGCGCGTTTCATTTGTCCGATGTTGGTGTGGATATATATTTAAGGTAAGTGTTCAATCTATGTTGGAGATGGCCGTGGGCGGTGGGGGGCCACCGAGTTTGGTATCCCAGAACCTCGGTGGCGTTGGGATATAAGTCACCCTCCTGGGCATCACAGGAGGGTGGATTTGGCTTATAAAATTGGTTTTATGATATATATTTATGGCTCCTGGCTTTGGTGGGGGCGGAGCCTTGGAATTTATGGCTCCTGGCTTTGGTGGGGGGCCTTGGAAAGTTGGAAAGTTTTAATGGTGGAAAGTTTTAATGGTTAATATTTCGGTTTGGTTTTAAATTATGGTTTTATGTTTAAAGTTGAATTATGAAATCCGTAATAAAGGTTCACGGCCATTCTCCAAGGTACAATATTGAAGTACTGAATAAACAAATTGGATAAAAGAAGTTGTTTTGTGTTTATTTATATTATGTATCATTAAGAATGCAACATTCAAACCTCATGTCGGGCACGCGGACTGCATAAGGAGCAAGCCTCATGAGGTTTGATGGAGCAGAGGCTGTTGGGTAAGTATTGGTCAGTTTAGGTTAGCAGCAGAGCGCAGTGAGGGTTAGGTGCAGGGCAGCACGCGCTATTAGCAGGGCGGGAAGGTCGTGATCAGGGCAAGAGCCCTGATTGGTAGATCGCAGCACGAGATAAGCAGTGGCGGGAAAATGAGTATAAATTTAAAGGCGCCAAATTATTTACCTCAGCTTGTGCCAGACAACTATCAAGGTTGGCCGTTTTTAAATATAACTGAGCTGCTGCTCCCACCCACCCTCCCTTCTTGTCGTGACCTTATTATGGGATATAAGTCACCCTCCTGGGCATCACAGGAGGGTGGATTTGGCTTATAAAATTGGTTTTATGATATATATTTATGGCTCCTGGCTTTGGTGGGGGCGGAGCCTTGGAATTTATGGCTCCTGGCTTTGGTGGGGGGCCTTGGAAAGTTGGAAAGTTTTAATGGTGGAAAGTTTTAATGGTTAATATTTCGGTTTGGTTTTAAATTATGGTTTTATGTTTAAAGTGGAATTATGAAATCCGTAATAAAGGTTCACGGCCATTCTCCAAGGTACAATATTGAAGTACTGAATAAACAAATTGGATAAAAGAAGTTGTCTTGTGTTTATTTATATTATGTATCATTAAGAATGCAACATTCAAACCTCATGGTTATTCATTTTATGCATTTCCACATTTGTTGGGCACCTTGCTGTGCATAGTACACACTGTGGCAAACAAAGTAATAAAGAGCAAAGCTGCCTAGTGTAGTACAGGGATATAAGCCAGATAGCTATGATTTAAAAGCCACGGTGCAGTTGCTGGGCATAGTGGGTTAAAAAATATAACATACAGAATGGTTAGCCTAACAAAGGATTATCATATTTTCGAGTTTGTTTTTAGCTCTGCTCAACGTTTGCTTCATTTTTGCTACTGAAAATTTATGAGGAACAATATTGTGTAGACCATATAATTTAGGTAAAAAGTCAATGAAAACTGAGCATTTTGACAGATATCACATGACAATAAAAAAACAACTGACCCTAAATACCATTTAGCATGGAAAAAAAAATGAGCACTAAACTTTTACATTCGTTTTGCACGATCCATGCTTTTTTGTTACAGACTCTAAATTTGTCTATTAGTTCATAATTTATTACATATGCTAACAGCATAATTGATAGATGTAACGGATAAATAATATAAAGTTTAGCTCAGTTTAAAGTACTGCAATATGTCTTCAAGTATTTTTCATTAAAAAAAATGTGTATATATATATCTCATGGCAGTTATTCTGAATCATATGACACATTGTATATTAATTTTGTGTACAGGCTGCTGTTCTGGAATAGCTTTTGTGCAATACATCAATTATCAGTTTAACATACCTCCATTTTTGTGGCGCACAGTGACTTTTACACTGTTATTGGATTCAACTAGATTGTGAAGCTTTACAGATTCCTTCAGAAAGAAATATTACATCAGTTTCACAATTATAATTATCATTTTATATTTTGTTCATGCTGTAAACATTGCAATAAGTTAACATTTAGTGACAAACATCTACTTTATTGCGCCCTTTTAGTGTTACAGTTAATTAGAACACAAAGATTCCAAATCACCCCAGCCCTTCAGGTATACGACTGTGGTGTTTAGTGCATTTAGCTATTTCTTTCAAGTGCATCAATCACAGACAAAAGCGTCAATAATTGGAAAGATAATCAAATTCTCTACAAATAAACAAGCAATCACTATTTATTTCTGTATAATAAACGGTACGTGTTTTAATAGGAAGGACAATGTGTTTTTAAAGTATTTTTTGAGGTGTATAAGTTTTATTGTTACCCAAGTCACCTGTGCTATTTTTATTAACCATAAAAGGATACATGGATGAAATGGCTCTGCTGGAGGTCTGACCTACGCATTTAAAAAAGGTACTGGAAATGATCCATTTATCAATTGAGCGGCTGTTCTAGTTAATTCTAGAACGTTCTTCTATCAGAGTTGCTTATGAGTGTGAGGAATTAAAATGCAATTTCTGACCTCCATTCTAAAGGGACTGATTGTGTTACATTACGTGCTATAGTTTTCATACACACCTTCCGGAGGTCATGCACAGTAAAGATGATAGATATAAGAGTCATTATAATAACGGCAATTGAGTATTCTATAAAACCCACTGCAAACCACAGAGCCAGACTGCACGCTTCAAATGCATAGAATGGATTTAAAACCTGGAGAGGATAGAAAATAAAAATACAGAAGACAGACTTGATTACTTATGTTCTTTTTGTGAGTTTATGGAATGCAAAGCCTATGTTGTTATATTTTTCCATATACTACTTTTGTGTACTTTTGTGTACATTACCTCTTTTAAAAGTAACTTCCAAATTGGCACAACATCAACCTCAATTTTGTTCAGTCCACATATTGATCTTCTGTGGAATGCAAAGCAAAGTCTTAGTTTAAAACTCAATGAGTGGTATTGTTAATGTCCACATTTCTTAAAGATTTACTGATAAGATAATTTGATATAAAACAATGGTTCCCAAACTTTTTTGATTAGGGCACACTTCAAAGAGAGAAATATTTCAAAGAGACTCAATTTCTTTGAGTTATTACAAACTTACTAAAGGGCTGTTCCAAACTCCTAAAGCACTTCAGCTTTAGACTGCAAGCTACCTTGTCCCAAGTAATATAAGTGCAGATTTAAAAATAAGTTGTCACTTTTATGAAGTCATTTTGGAACACACACTTGTCAGTCAATCTGACAGCTAGTACAATTGTTTAAACAGAAATGAGAGTTTTCACTGGCAAGCATTAGTCATACAAATTTACTTTGACAAATTTACCAAATGTGAATCTCATTTTTTTTTTAAATGCTGACATTCTAGGTTAAACACTTTGTTATTATTATTATAGCCAAGAAGTTAAGGTGTTTTTTTGGCCTCGGCCCACTAATCAAAAACCAGTGCTATGTAGGCATGGAATGGCCCATGTACTATCTTAGGACCAAACTATTCTTCCACTTAGACTTTAAAGGAGCACTATTAGACCTGCCCACTGCCTGTTAACATCAGCAGAAGTGGTAGCCTGATCCAATCACAGTGCTTCCCCATAGGATTGGCTGAGACTGACAAGGAGGCAGATCAGGGGCAGAGCCAGCATGATTCAAACACAGTCCTTGCCAATCAGCATCTCCTCATAGAGATGAATTGAATCAATGAATCTCTATGAGGAAAGTTCAGTGTCTGCATGCAGAAGGAGGAGACACTGAATGTTTGGATGCATTTTAGGCAGCAATGACCCAGGATGGATCTCTAACAGCCATCAAGTTATCACTAGGCTGTAATGTAAGCACTGCATTTTCTCTGAAAAGACAATGTTTACAGCAAAAAGCCTGAAGGTAATGATTCTACTCACCAGAACAAATTCAATAAGCTGTAGTTGTTCTGTGAACTATAGTGTCCCTTTAAACAATATGCATTTGATACTTAGCAGAGAGACATACAGTGCAGGAAATAAATAAGCCTGGAAAAGAAACCCATGTAACATATCCAAGACACAAACACAACATAGTTATATGTACAACAAAATGACAGGAGATAGTGAAAAAAAAAAGAGAGAACGCATTAAATATATTTTTATGCAAAATATGTGTTGCTACATTTGTAAGTATAAACAATGTAATATTTTTAAATATACACACATTTTATACACAAATACATAAAAATTCAACAAATAACACCTGTGCAGTACCTGATGTTTTGCTCTTCAGTTGTCAGTCCATATGCAAACTTAGAGTGGATATCATAACAGGATAGGCTATCCTCCAAAACACTGAAAAACCATTTAACAGTAAATTATTTTAGAAGTTGTAATGTTAGCAGGTAAAAGGTATACAATTAGAATTGTGTTCTTACCCAGCTCTTTCAAATTTCTGTTCTTCTTGGTCCCAAACATAGCTGATTTTTTGAACCCGTATCATTTTAACCTATTAATGTAAATGAGAAATTATATCAACTTCCCAAGTATTGGATTAACATTGCTTCCTTGGAATACAGGGCAAAAAACAGACAACCTTCAATTTTGCACAGATTCTATACTTACTACATTAATGGGATACTGTAAGTACCAAAGCAACTTTAGCTTAATGAAGCAGTTTTGGTGTATAGATCATGGCCCTGCAGTCTCATTGTTCAATTATCTGCTATTTAGGCATTATATTACTTTGTTTATGTAGCAAAAGCCACACCTTCCTGCACGTGACTTACACAGCCTTCTTAAATACTTCCTGTAAAGTGAGATGTTTAATCCTTTTTTTATTGCACTTTCTGTTGATAAATACGAATTTCTTAACTCCTGCTCTGTTAATAGCCTTCTAGACCCTGCAAGTAAATCCTGTGTATGATTAAAGTTCAATTTACAGAGCATGAGTTAAAAACCTCTAAGGTAATGTAACATCTGTTTGAAAATGAAACTGATTTTTTTTTTCATGCAAGCTACGTGAGTCACAGTCAGGAGATGTGTGACTGCTGCGATGGCTGCATAAACAGAAACAAAAGTGGTTTTACTCCTGCATGACAGAGGATTGAGCAATGAGACTGCATAGGGCATGATTTGTACTGAAAACTGTTTCACTAAGCTAAAGATATTTTGATGCCTTTTACTGCTGAGGAAGTGTTTATGAGAAGCCTCAAAATGTGTTCAGTTCTTTTTCATAATGTATGTGGTGTAAAGATTTTTTTATATCATTTTTTATACATGATGTGGTTTTTCCATGAAATATGCCTATTGCAATCAAGCCTATTGCCTCTTTAATTGATGGTTCCTACAATTGTGTTTGGATCTCTCAGGAGTGTGGTATATAAATGTATTGCCTATATTCTTTTAACCTACTGAGCTTTTTTACAAGAAGGACCAGCCAGAATCCTGATGGAGAAGGCTCACATAGGGTTTGCCTAGAATTTTAATGGAATTTAACTCCATAATTCTGTATATATTATTGTAAATTTATGTGCCTTGTTTTACAGATTCAGTTAAGACAAAGTGTACCTGGTTTTAGATCCCAGAGAAAGGACTGAGAAATCAATATTCATTTATAAAGACTGAGGAACAAATTTTTTTTTCCACATGATATTAACACCTACAGACACATTGCACAATCCTCCTGGAGTTATTTGATTAAGGTTTGTGATGTGACAAGATATTTTGTTTCACGCCAGTGATGTGCTTTATTACTCATTATACTCATTACACATAAAATTTTTATATTTTAGGGCAATAAAAAGCTGGATCTGAGATATATAGGGTTAGGATAAGTCAGCATACATTTTTCGACTTTTTTTCTTTAAGTATAGATGGCACTTTTCTCTAGGAAACATATAATGTAAAATGTTGCACGTCTGTGACTTATTTTTATTGTTGTATATCTAAATTAAGTTAATGTTCCTTATTATGTGTTTTGGACTACCTTAACTTTACTTTGGGAAAATATTATTAATTGTCTATTCATTAGGACAACTTACCTTCAAGTCAGGCTTTTGAATGGATTTACTGATAATTGATTTGCTGTCAGCAATCACAGGCGTCACAGTTGTGGTTGTTTTTGATATATTCAGGTTCTGCGGTTGGATCCAAATCACATTTTTTCTGCAGTATTGCTCAAATTCATCCTAGGTGTGCACAAGTATAGTTGAAGTTTCGCTCGTTGCGTAAACAGTGCTAAATAAGTTACAATATTACTAATAAGCCAATACACAAGCAGACATGTAATAAAAAAAAAAAAACATTCAAGCTCCAGTTACCATGTAAATAATTACAGATAAAGGTGTGTGTGCAGGGGGTAGAGGGGGCAGTAAAGTTACAGTTCATACTTTATGTCTCTATCAGGACATAGTTTGCTTTGAATACTTTAGATAGCTTTAAAATCCATGGCTCAATTGCCAATGGATCCAATAAGTAAAAAGAAGTATATTTTAAAATATCCTAAAAATATGTTTTTTGTGTGTTAATTGCTTATTAAAATTAATTATATACAAGGAGATATTTCCATCCTCATAATTCTACCTTCAGATTTTATATATTTCATATTACATTAACGAACACAGGTTACTAGGCAGATTACATGAAGAAAAAAATGTTAATTAATAATATCCAAGTCAACATTACATTTAAAAGGTTTACTCCAACCAAAAGATAGTATTTTAATAAAACACGTTTTTTGAATGTGTAACCCTTGTTGTATGCCCCTCCCCCCCCCCCTTAAAAATAATAAAGAAAGAACAGAGGCCAAGTTCTCTCTGTAGCTGGATAATCCTCTGGTGACATCACCCACCCCCTATTGCACGCTACTTGTGTTGACAACAGATGACAAATATGCACATAATTCACATTTGTCAGTCCAGAACTTTTGTTCCAGGCTGGCTAATGACACTGTTGGAATTAAACGCCATCAGAAAAGTGCTTTAACTCTTTATATGCTGCAATGCTCAGTAAAATGCTGCACATACAGACTCCAAGCACTAAAGATGTCATGATGCTTGGATTAACCATTTTTTTTTAAAAAAAAAACAGTTTTCTGGAGAAAGTGCTTATCAACTTCTACTCTTTGAGATCAGCTGAGCAATTACATGTTGAGTCTCTGGCTTTTAGTCTGTCTCCAGATCATCCAACAGGAGAAAAAGTAATTTTTTTAAAAACATGCGTTGTGTGTTACCTTTTCAGTGCCAATAGTTCTTTTAACAGAGATTCGATTCACAGTTCAAAGTAATTTTCGAAGTCATCTACCTGCTACAATTACTCTCCACCTCACCTCACAGAAATGGTAGTTATATCGGGGTACAAATGTACCCTACCCCAGCAGTTAGTACTGTATTTTGTGCATCCCTGTTCCTCTTTTGTTCTTACAATGTTGCCAAGGTAAATAAAAATAATCAAATAAAAATAAATACATGATATATACACATGTATAATTATTTATTTATTATTTTTATTTTTGTAAGTTCATTTTATTTATTTTTTCACTTTGGGAATATTGCAAGTAACTTATTTTATATGTAATCCAATGGACTCCCAATACTATATTTTGTTTTGGGAAGGGGGTGATTAGTAATGGCTTATGTATGGTAATCATTATTTTGATCTTCTTACAGGTTAGTGTCCATAAGAACCATAATCATCAGAAGATCGAACAATACTGAGGCATTTTTTATCATGTGTTTATACTACTGTGACCAACTAGCCTTCTTGGGAGCAGATGTGTTAGAAGATTCATAAAAACAACAATATAGCAAAGTTAAATAACCCATGAGTTCAGCTTTACCGTTTATCAGTTTTATTGCTTTATTTATTTACAGTTATATACATTCAATTTTATGGCATTTAGAATAGATATGGTCTTACTGTAGTTTTAAGTAGTATAGTATCAGCTTCTTGCAAGCTGCATGGAATACAATGTGCCCACACATGCCACTCTGGTTTCCAGTAGAATATAAGCCAAAGAAAGCCACAGGAGATGATGTATCCAAAAACACAAACCATTCTTCGAATTGACTGTGCCTTGTAACCAAAGGTTTCCTACGGAAAATAACAAATAAATAAAATAAAGGTACTCAACACTCCTTCACCAAAATTTGGAAATTGCTTTGGAGTGCCTGCCACTCACTATTTACTTATTGACACTTAAAGCGACACTATAGTGTTCAAAACAACTTTAGTTTAATGAAGCAGTTTTGGTCTATAGATTATGCCCCTGCAATCTCACTGCTCATTTCTCTGTCATTTAAGAGTTAAATCACTTTGTTCATACAGCCCTAGCCACACCTTCCTGCATGTAATGTACACAGCCTTCATAAACACTTCCTATAAAATTAGATCTAAAGTTAACACTTCCTTTATTGCAAATTCTGTTTAATTTAGAATTTCTTATCTCCTGCACTGGTAATAGCTTGCTACATCTTTCAGGAGCATCCTGTATGTGATTTAATGTTTGATTTACAGAGCAGGAAATAAAACCTCTAAAGCAAGTTAACATCTGATTGAAAATGAAACCATTTTATTTATTTTCAGTCACAGCCAAGAGAGGTGTGTCTAGGTTTCCATGGTCAGAAACAAAAGTGATCCAACTCCTAAGTGGAAGAAAATGAAATAGAGAGACTGCAGGGACACAATCGAAACACCAAAATGGCTTTATTAAGCTAATATTGTGGTGACTATAGTGTCCTTAAATCCAGTAACACTGCATGTCTGATGGTGTGACTCAGAATGTGCCTGGAGTGAGTATCCTTGTGTGTCTCTATGAGTGTATATCTATCTTTCTGGTTCTTTGGGGAGGTGACTATGTGTGTGCTGGGGGTTACCATCTGTGGGTTGGTAACTATGTCTATGAGTGACTGTGTCTGTGGTGGAGGTCTGTGTACGATGGTGACTACATTTGTGAGGTAGTGACTGCATATGTGGAGGTGACTGTATTTGGGAGGATGGCACTGTGTGGAGTGGTTACTGAGGCTGTGGTGGGTAGCTATGTGGGAATGAGAGTGCTAGTGAGATCTTTAGATATCCTCATTAGCTGTGCAGTAGCAGTGTACCCCTGAGAGTCAGTACTCTAATAGTAGCTCTGTCTCCTATAGGTGCTATAGGCACTTATTTCCAAAGAAATGTATTTTCAATAAACGAACTTCACCTGCAATTGGTTAAATTGCATATACATGATTTCTGGGTATGTGAGCATACTGTCAGAATTGTGTTTAAACTAATGCCTAGAGAAGGTGTTAATCTTGTTAGTACATAAACACAGTTTAATTTTCTTTGACCAAGGTGTTTATTAGTTTTAAACAAAAGTAGTTCACACCAAAAATAATCATATCCTTTGTTTTCTGTCTTGATAACTAGTGCAGATCTGGGAATTTAGTTGTGAAGATTAAATGGGAAATTCCCCCTATCTGTCTTCTTTTGATGTTATAGCCAGTCAAATAAATTGTGTGGCTAAGCTACATCATAGCTATGTGCTGCTATTGTTTTCAATCATAATAAAACAAGTTTTAAAAAACAAAACAAAAAAAAACAGTGTCCATTAACGTAACTTGATGTTATTTTTATAGACATAAATTCCAAGTTTCTTTGCTGTAGGCTTGGACCACAGAAAGTTCAATATGCATCTAAGAATATGTGCTACTTTCAAATCAGACACACAAAAAAAATACAATCTATCATGCCCTGCCTACATTCTAGTAACACAAACTTGCATCCTGGTGTTTTGTCTATGCCACTGAATGTGTGGCTCTTGGCATTTGAGGGACTTGCAGGTGCCTGCACACAGCAAGAAGTGTTTTTGGTTTCTACAAAAATCCAATAATGTAATAATACAATAATTTAGACTAAATGAAACAGCAATCAACAAATGTAAGTATGTGAATCTTTAGTATATTATTTGTTGAGGTGCCAATATTGTTACAGTTTGTATTTAAAATGAATGTCTATGAAAATCCACTAACATATAAGAAAAAAACCTGTACTCATGTTTTTGATTATCTGCGGGAAGAAGGGCCTTTTTTAGACTATGCTTTAATAAAAAAATACATAACTTATGTATGTCTAAAAGCAAACATACTGTGCTTTTTGAGGATACAATATACCTTCTAAAAAAAAAATTCCAGAGAGTAAATATATCATCTTACCATCTCATTTTCATCTCCTTGGTTAAGTATGCCATGCTGATATGTATCCTTACTTCTCTCCATCAATTCAAAGTGTATTCAGAAAATGAAGTTCTCAAGACCTGTGATTTTAGTGAGTAAAACATCCATTGTCCCAATTCCTGACTTATGAAGCTCTGAATTTGTAAAACACACCCCTATCAGCACACAAGCATTAACAAAGGTTGGTAAATTTCCCATCATATTTTGAAATGTGTGTGCTTAACCTCTGCAAACTTCCTTGTCATTTCCTCACCCAAATCAAGGTCACCAAATTTGCCCATAAGAAAAAATATCAAAGGTGATCTTAGTTTACATATATGGAAAGTGTTCAACTTTTATGGCTTACCTTTTCTCCTTAGTAGCAAAGCCGGAAATTAAGGATTTGAACTGAAATGGTCTACATACATGTTTAAGAACATATTATATTATCAGATGAACATTTTAAAATAATGATCTATGTTCAAAGAGAAACTCTTAGCTCCCTAATTAAGGCGGTTATGGTGCAAAGACCCTGATTCTGCAAATGTTATTTATTTTTTATTTTTTGTAATGTTTAATTCTGGTGCTAAATGTACTTTTTCCTCTGTGTAGAGCCTCCTCCTTGGCTAGCAATCAACCAATTGGCATACTCTCTTCCTGGCTAACCCCTCACACACATTTAAATAGTGTTCAGCAAACCTTTCAGGGATGAGAAGACATGACTTAACAGCTAATTAGTTCTTCTTGGACAAAGTCCACAGGGCCTTCTGTGCCCACAAATATCCTGAAGGGCCAATATTGTCATTCAGTTTTATCACTATCATGGCAAGGAACTGATCATATTTGTTGCGAAACCGAGATAACCTAATATGTTCAGACTATATATATGCTGATCTCTGCCTCCACTGTATGTAACCTGGGCTTGAAGAGATATGTCTGCTGTATACCAATTAAATTGGTTCTTGCAAAATTGTTGACACATGTATATACTCTCTCCTTACATTGGCTTCCCTTATGACACAGGGCTCAATTTAAAATGTTGTTACATGTTTACAAATCTCCACATAACACTGCTCCAATAGTCCTATGCTCAGCATTATATTAGTATATACCATTCTGGCACCTAGAAGACCTGCATCTGTTCTCTGTTTTATTTGCACATCTGATACCCACCTTCAAGAATTTTCTAGGTCTGCACCATTCCCATAGAGCTCCTTTCCCTGATCCATTAGACTATCATCCAGCATCCATCCCTTCAAAAAAATAAATTGAAAACTCACTTCTTGAAGAAGATTGGGTTTAAAGTTGTACTTACTTTTATGATAATTAAAATACACACATAGAACTGACTCTTACATGATAAAATAGTGAGTCTTAATCAGAAGAACCCATTAAAATCATGTTCCACAATAGTTCAGGCAATACAGGAATATCACACCACTCCTCTGCAGTTGAAGAGACTCTGGAAGTTACTAGATGCAGAAGAATGCTAAGCAGGAATATTCTTTCCCATTGTGGATCCTTCTCAGCACGAAACAACCCTCCTAAAATGTTTTTCACCCTCGAACTGGCCATTCTTAGGAATAGGTGCCTGGGGAAAGAGAGAGATGACTTGTAGTATTCTGTTCTCAAAGATTTAAGGGGCTAGGTAGTCTTAAGACAAACAGTGGTCCGCTGAGACTGCAACCCAACATGACCAAGCACAATTACAATTAAATATAATATAGCATGCATAATAAATACCTTTTAAAAGAAATTAGTGAACATTAATATGCATAATAATCTTCTCACTCAACTGCTAAGTGAACAACTCCATGAATGGATACATCTCTCAAGAAAAACAGAACAAGTTTTCTCTATCATTCATTTGGAGGAAATAATACTTATTAAAGTATGAATCAAAATACATTTAAAATGTTAAATTAGATTAAAAAGAAAGTGGAAGGGGTGTGGCCTGGTAGCCAACCAAGATGGCAGCTTCATCTCGTAGCTCCTCCGACCCCGAAGCTGCATATCTCGATAAAACACCCTAAGAGTGCATAATGGGAAAAAGTTCTAAGCACGCGGGTACCCACAAACCTTCGGGGACCCGCCAGACCGTTATCCACACTGTTATTCAGCAATACCTGGCCGTGTCAGCGGATACCGCCTCGCAGATGGCATTAAGAGCCTACAATGACTCCGAGGCCACAACCACCCCCCCCCCCATCAACCTCACCTGGCAGAGAGGAGCCACCAGCATCCCCTCCAATGGACAGACTGATGCTAATAAAGGCACTGCTGACCAGGGCAGACCTCAAAGAAGCGAACGCGGCCCTCCATGCCTCGATCCGGGCCGATCTTTAACTAATGAGGTCAGATCTCCAGGGACTGTCGGTCCACATGGCGCAAGTGGAGGCCAACCATGACAACCTCCTGGCAGCCCAGACGCAACCTCAACAACACTGGACTGCCAGATTGCCCAACTGCATCTGATGGCGAGACATATTAAAGACCTCGGCAACTGAGGCCGCCGTCAAACCTGAGACTCAGAGGCCTGGGAAAGTGAGGAACGCCCAGAACTACTCAAGGGCCTACTTACCTCGATCTTCAATGGCCTCCTACACTGATCTAGAGACACTCCAATCGAATTTGTGAGAGCACACAGGGCAATGAGGCCTACGAGCCCTCCAGACTCCACCCCGAGACGTAATATGCTGCCTAGCCCAAAACGTACTCAAGGAGGACATCCTACAGGCAGCCCACACTACAGGCAACTTTACACATAATGGACATCCTCTCCAGCTGTACCCTGATCTGTGCCTGGCCACATTGGCATACTTCAGGTCCCTCACCCAGATCCTGGCAGCCCAGAAATACCGCTACTGATGGACATTTCTGACTGGGCTCATGGTTCTAATGCAGAAAGGCCCTAGACCGATCTGCACACAACAAAGCCTCCTGGAAATGTCTGAGGAGCTCCAGCTGCCACCTCTCCACCTAACCTGGCCGGACCCTCTGGATTTTTACAGACCACTGACACCTGTGGGACCATCAACATCCCAGAGGAGGAACCGGCACAGGATGGAAACCACAAGGCCCGCCGGAGCCACACGCCGAGGACTGGCATCTGTCCACCTGCCTGGATGGCACCGGACCATGTAAATACCTCCCCCAACTCACCTTAGAGACTGTTGGGGTAGTTAGCCACACATACATAGGTCTTGCAGATGCCGCGCTACCCATACAGCCATCTATACTGCACTCTCTTCACACGATATGTCCACCTGACACACACACGCATGATGCACACAGGGAGTAGGCAGGGCATGGGCAAAAGCCCACTCTATCATGGCAGCCGACAAGCACTATCCCATTACTTGCACTTGAGACCTTGAGTCACATCACCGGGGGATGGGGGGATCGGAGTGGGGGTGTTTCCTTTCGGCGCCTTTATATCAGCTCTTGCAACCGCCCTCAGGTAAGGGTGCCCCGGTCCGGGGCCACACACCATGGGAGTGCAGGGGTGGGTGGCAGAGCTTGGGCTGACAGCCACAACACATCACAACTGGTGTTCGGATCCAGGAGGGGGGATGCAGACAGTGGGATGCCCAGCACGGGGGAAACACAGATACACAAGGCAGATGAATTCCCTAACAGTAACCCCAACAGTTGACGCTATGTTTTATTGCTCTTTGGTTTCAACTTCGAGGCAGCAGGTGCCAGGGTGACTTGTGGGATCCTCCACATGAGAGTTTTTTATTAAGCCTCCTCGCGTGGTGTGGCCCCTCAGCCCAGTGGCCACTGCGCCCCGAACTTCAGGTTGGCTGTCCTGGTTTGATTCTGTATACATCGGAGTGATCACGCTGCACTTCACAACTGACTAATGTGTCACAGTTCCGGTTGGGCGACCCCGGTGGACCGACTTGCTCCAACCCTGCCCACACCTTTGTTCTACCAAGTTGGTTAAACCTTGTATATACCTGTATTTGATTGTTATTTGATTGTTACTTGTTGAGTTGGCAACTCAAGTCGCCTGGGGGGACTTGACAACTGATCCCAACACACCTAACCCTTACCTTTCTACCCCTCCTCTTTTTTTTTATCAGTACTATCACTCCCGCTTCCTGACTATGCCACCTGACCCCACTTATCGGAAATTAGAAATCAACCTCCTATCCATTAATGCCAAAGGTCTTAATAAGCCAGAAAAAAAATCAAATTCCCAGACTGACGAATCACCAATACCCCCAGTGCTTCCTTAGCAATAACCCAGAAAGTAAATCCAAAGGCACTGCCATTCTGGGGCATAAGTCCCTGCACTTTGCCCCCCACTCAAGTCCTTCGTGACAAGAGGGGCTGCTATGTTTGCGTCAAAGGGAGTATCCTAGATACACCCCACACCTTAGCCAACATATATGCTCCCAACGCACACCAACACAAAGAGGGTTGCCTAGTGATAGGGGGCGTCTTCAACGTGGCCATCCACCCACTCCTAGACACATCATCCGGATCCTCATCGGTGCCACACCATGTCCTTACAGCCATTGCGCAGACCCTACAGGGGCACCAGCTGTTGGATTGTTGGAGAGGTGACAGAGACTTTACCTTCTATTCTGCTCCTAACAAGATGTACTCGAGACTAGACTACTTTTTCCTCTCACACTACTTTTGACCTTCGACAGATCCAAATAGGCACAGAAACTTGGTCCGACCACACACCGATCATGATGACACTAGCCTCCCCACTATACAGACCAACGAACACCAGATGGAGACTTAACGAATCCCTCCTAAATAACCCCTTCATGACACAGGAAGTCCATGACTGCCTCTCCCACAACATCACAGAAAACGAGACTGACAATGTTACTCCCCTCTGCATGTGGGATGCTCACAAATGCGTCATTCGGGGCCTCTTCGTAGAAAAAGGCGCACACTAAAAAAAAGCAAATCCGCAAGGCTTAAGTCCATAATCACTGAAATTCAGACCCTGGAAACATGCCATAAACAGACCCATATTCACGTGGACTGGCTCAAACTGACCACCTTGCGGAGAGAACTATCATTAATACTGAACACCT